AGCTGTGTAACCTGAAAGAGTCCAAAACCCCTCTCCACCTGCCCCCCATCTCCTTCCAGAAGAAAGCAGCAGGGAGGTGCAAATGGCCTGTTCAGGGACAAGAAGGACAGGGGAGCCAAGCAGAAGGCAGCCTCCCAAGGGCTTCAAGTCTCTGCCTTGAGACACCGTTGGAGCCTGCCACAGTGGGGGGCACCCTCCCTGTGCTCCCTCCTTTCCCTCAGCAAGTCTCTGTCTCCCCTGCCCTCGGCTAGATCGTTGCCCCTCATATCTGACACTCCTGAGCGACATTCAGCCCCCTGAGTCGCTGGGGTGGTCAGAAACAGACTCCCCAACCTCCCACCCAACCTTCTGCGGGCAACCACAAGGAGCAAAGAGGCTGGGGTGGCAGGCAGAGCGCAGAAAAAGTCCATGCACAATGACATCCGAGTGCAAGTATGACCGTACAAAGTGTAACGTGCACATGAGAAAGCGCACAGGTGGCTTTTAGTTGAGCATGTGTGATGTGACAGGTAAATGACATTATTAGCCACCACCTACGAATGGAGAAATTGAGGCTCAGAGAGGCTAAGGGATCAAGGTCACACGGCTAGTAAGTGATAGAGGGGACATGAAACCATGTCTGAAATTCATGTCTGAATTGCATAAAACCTCCATAACAGACCTTTCAGTGACACCTGCAGAGGTGGGGGGAAGGGAGATATTTGGGGTGCCAAGATATATTAAAAGGCCCCTCCCCGTTCCACGTGGAGGCTGCTGTCCAACCAGCATCCTTCTTCCTCTCTCCTCCACCTGCACACGAGGAGACAGGGGTTCAAAACTCTTAGAGGGGATGGCCCGGCAACCTACCAGCACAGACTTCCCCAACCAGGGCCCTCAGCCTCTGGCCCCCTGCGCTCTCTGCGCTCCCCTCCACACCCCCAAGGGAGAGGGACCCAGGTCAGGGGAGGGAAGGCCCCATCCCTTGGCTTCCCCACCTCCAGGGCTGCTCCCTCCCGCTGAGTCTGCACTGTTCAAAGTCACCTTGAGAGTCTCAGTGCCAGGGATGACAGCCAGTGGGGGCGAAGCAGATGGGCCGCTGACATGGCAGCATGGAGGGAGTTTCTGCAGCTAGCACAGGGGGAGGGAGCCGGGGGAGGCTGATACACAACCAGGAACCTGGAATTTTGGCTATGACCAGGGTGATGGGCAAGCCGCAGGGGTGGGCAGGCCCCTGATGTGACCCCGGAACTGGGCTCGTGTGGATGGAGAAGCTGAAAGCTGGATGGACAAGTGACCTGACAGCCATGCCTTCCCAAGCCAGCGCTTCACTCCAAAAGCAAGCATGACCAGCCTTAACCCTTTGTGTCTTTCCTGAGAGCTGAGACTCCTGGATTCAGAGGAGGATGGTCTCTCCTTCACGGGGGTGCCTAGAAGGGAGAAAACCACCACCCACATGGCTAGATCACTTGTGGATACCCCTCATCTAATCGCTGGCAGGAGGTGATGGCAAAGGCAGACACGGCTGAGCTGCAGGAGGGTGACCTCATGGGTCCTGCCAGGAGCAGGCAGGCAGTGCGGATGTCCACGCACCAAAAGGCTGAAAGGTGGAAGGCTGAGGTCAAGCTCCAGGGAAGGACCAGGCTCCTTTTCAAGATCTAGAAATGGTCAGAGCAAGAGGAGAAACAGGCCAGACAGACAGAGCCCAAACTTGGTCCCATTCAGTAGTAAACAGCCGACATTCGACACCTACTTCACCAAGTGAGTCCAGTTCAGTCTTCACTCCCAAGGGACCCCCAAACAGCATCCTCCGCTCTCCTTCCCCAGAAGCCTCTCCTCAGGAATAGCATCCCTCCAGCCCAGAAACTGGGGGTCATCCTAACCGCACTCTCCCCTCGCCCCTCATGGCCACTCAGAGGCCAGGTCCTGCCATTCGACCTCGTGACAAAGCTCTTTTCTTCCGTGTTTCTTGGGTGACCCACCACGGCCACCACCCATCATCTCTCCTGCACAGCTCTAGTCAAGCCTGCCTCCTGCATAAAGTCCCTTCTTGGGGAGACTCAAGGAAGGGATCTCCTCAGACTCCACAAAATAGTATCAAATTGCACGGACTAAAAGGCCTTTCAGCCTGATGGCTTTGTACTCCAGCCAAGCCAAACTCCTTGGCAATCTCTAAACTTCTGTTCCTCTCCCTCCTCTGGGCCTCTGCACATACTGTTCTCCAGTCTGTCTCCCAGGAGACAGCCCTTGAGACCATCTGTGGCCTCAAATCTCCAGCACTTGTCACGGAAGTCATGCCTTGGATGGATGGATGGGTGGATGGATGGATGGATGGATGGATGGATGGATGGATGGATGACGAGGGGAAAGAAAAATGAAAAATCACACGATGTTGTAGCATGAAGACAGATTCAGAGAAGTAAAACAACTCGCCCGAGGTCAGGTGGAATTAGCCACCCTATCTACAGCCCTTTGCTGCCTCAGAAGAGGGCTGAGAGCCCCAACACAAAAGGAAGAAGAGAACACAGAACCAGGGGAGTCCTGGGACAGTTCTGACAGCAGTCGGGGGGTCACGGAAAGGAGATGGAGGGGGAGGACCACAGAAGGTGGGTGCCTGTGGTTCAACAGCTCACAGCAAAGGGAGGGATGCAGGGCCTGGGGTCTTTCAGGCAGATATCACTAGGGTCCCAGCAGGAAAAAAAGTAGTTGTCCCCAGGAATCAATGGGAATGGAACTAGAGAAAATTCTGGTTTTGGAGGGACGACAGGATATCAGGACTGGGGGGACATCGGTCGTGCTGCCCAGGGGGACAAGGCTGTAGGAGGTGATTAAGCCTGGCCTTACAAAATGAGTCGTAAGGCAGAAGTAACTCTTCCTCATTTCCAAACCTCCACCAGGCAGGGAAATGCAAGTAGGTGTCCCAATTCTAGGAGGTGAAATCTGGGGACACACAGGCTGGACCTTTGGCCTGTACAAAGCTCAGCTTCTTGGCCCAGGATGGAAACAGCTATTAGGAAATATGGAAACTTTGGGGAAAAGATAAAAGTCTAGATAACCTGTTGTCTCTTTTTCCCAACTCCTACCCTCTTCTCTGAGTCCTTCAAAGGCTGGCTCCCCACCCTAGCCCTGCCCAGAAGCCTTCCCCATTTCTTTTGAATGGCGAGAGTTCTTCACCAAGCCTTGACCGGTTTGTTCCGCGGCCTTCTCTGGACATGGAGACCATCTCCCTAAAGCCCAGGTGAGTGGGGGAGAGCAAGGGGTGATCAGCCACCTCGCCCAGGCCAGCCCCAGCCACACCTGCTCCAGGGCCAGACGGCAGCTGTGCTCTAGCCAGCAGGTATGTTTTGCTAAGGAGAATATGCCAGCTGCTGTCCTGCTTCAGCGGCGGGGGCCCAGGATGGCTGCCTGCCCTGGAAAGCACTGATGGTGCTGCCGGGCCAGAGGACAGCGGCCGCCTCTGCCCCCAGCCTGAGTCGCCAGGCCAAGCCAAGCCAAAGCGGTTCTGACACAAGCGCTACCTGGGAGAGGTTTCAGACGTGGAGAACAGCAGGTCACCTGGCTCAGGACACTGGCTTTGTGCCTTTGTGCACAGCCGTCAGGGCAACACGGCCCCGGGGGAACCGTGAACTTCCACCCTGAGGTTCAAGCGCAGTGGAGAAGGGCAAGGGACCCACTGCAGTTATACTCGTGTCCCTTGGCTAGATCTGAGGACTCTGCATGGCCGAACCAGGGTCTGTCCGAGGCCCCCAGCCAGAGGCCTCACTCTCGCCCCCGGCCCGGACCTCCTGGAAGCTGGCACAAGCCTGCGCAGAGTGGCAGAGGATCTTTCCATGGAGGCGGCCGCCCCTGCCCTCTACCCCTCCTCCTGCTCAGCCAACACCAGCCCCCCTGACCTGGGGCAACAAGGAGGAACAGGAGAGGGACCGAGGATCTGTTCAGACAGTCCGGCCCTGGCCACCCGCTCCTCCACCCCTGGCAGCACTGAGCCCCATCATCAGGCACTAATTAAATCCCCCTAATGAGGAAATAAGGATGCAGGAGCCAGCTCCACCATGGCCTCCCCGGCCCAACGCCCTCGCCTCTCCATCGGACTTATCGCTCGTCACAGGATGTTTACAATAATTTTTAATTTGTGCAATTATTAATCACTTTTCTATCTGCCTCATTTGCATAATAATTAGTCATCTCACTGTTTGGCATGCCTGTGAATGACAGTGTTTTAAATTGAATTAAGATTTTAATATTCTATTTTCCTGCTTTCTTCCCCCTCCACACGCTAATCAAAGTCAGATTTGGCAGCCGGCGAGAGGGTGGGGAGGAGGCTGGCAGGCCCTGGACTTGGCCCGCGCGGCGCTGCTGAGAGCGGTGCTGGGGGGGCGCGTGTCTGGAGAAGACAAGGGGCCAGCCCGCGCCCAAAGCCCGGCACTTGAGAGGTTAACCCACCTCGCCTCCCCAGAGACAGGGAATGAGCGGGGAGGGCAGGAGCAACGGCGGGGAGGGCGCAACAGGCGCCGCGAAGGCACAGAGAGCAAGACAGCGCTTTCATTTTTTTTTTTCCCCCAAATAGGCTGCTTTTTGCGAGAGGAAGTTGGGAAGCACATTACAGGCCAGTAATTGCTCCCCGGTCACTAGTCGGGGCTAACTTAGATGGCTCAGGGGCCCCAGGTAGAGACGCAGGCTGGAGCAGTCTACAGCCCGCTGCCATTCTCCGGGTGGATTGAGAGAACAAATCTCTGCAGCTGAGCGGGGGCCCCTTGGCCCCCTCCACAGCTGCCACCTCTCCGCACACCAGCAGACCCCCTGCCAGGCAGGCTGGACCAGAGAGCGAAGGGTTTCTGAAAAGGGGCAACAAGCAGGGGCACGTTGCCCTTGGTTAGGGGCAGTGGTGGGTTTCTCTCTTTCTTACCCTCAAGCCCTTCTCTCCACCCAGTCCCAGAACTCAGTTCCAGCCTCAGTGAGGGGCTGCTCCAGCCCCACCTCCTGGCTTGCCTCACATGTTGCCATGGTAACCCCCAGGCTGCCCTGGATACCCATTGCTGCTCCAGAATTCTCTGCTCTGGCAGGGCACTCTTCCCTTTCACCATCACTGGAGACAAAGGGTGAGGATCACCAACACTTGGTCTCTCCCTCCAGGTGAGTAGGGGGCAAAGATGGGCCGGGTTAGCGTCTGCAACCAGCACCCGCCTGGCATCAGCACTGAGAAGGGGGTGGGGGACAAGCCTTTCTCCAGGCTGAGTGAGACCCCCTCTTGCTACAGAAACCCCTTGCTCCCTCAAGGTAAAACTCTGTACTTAGAGATAAAGGGAGAGAAGTCCCCTCGCTGAGGAAGAAATGGGGTTCTGCTAACAGGTGGAGTTGGGTGAGAAGAGGGAACAACTAGAAGTTTCTAGGAGAGCCAACAGGACTCCATGGGGGGGGGGTCTGCATCCCCCATCTGCACGTCAGTCAGCAAGGCCAGGCAGGGAAGTGTCCAGATATTTCTGAGGTCCCCCCAGGCACATGGTGTCCCTGGGCTGACCCACAAACCCTCCAGCCAAGTGTTAATTAGGAAGACACCAGCCTCGGGAGCTGGTAGTACCAGGAACAGGCTTGCCGAGTCTTCGCCTAAAGGAGTAGAACAAAAATTGCCAGGATGTAGCACAGGCACAGAGCTATCCAGGAATTATAGGGAGCTTTGAGAAAACAGGCCTCAGGTTTTTAGACTATGTGTCCAGTCCAAAATGGAGGGAAACACGCAGGCTTCTTACCACGTTGTTCACCAGGCCGAAATGACCCCAGACTGAACACCGTGCTACTGCGTCACTCCGGGGACCCCAGCCCTCACCCCAGCCAGCCTCACCCACCACACCCAGTCAGCAATTTGGTCCTGGCCTCGTGTCCCACAGCCTCCAACTGGGAGTGGGGCGCTTCGGGCAGTGAGGCCAGCACACACAGCTAGTGCTGCAGCAGCCTCTGCTGGCCACTGCGCCTTCCGCACTTCACCCAAGGCGCCCCTCAGATCTATGCCTAAGCTGAGTTGCCATTCACCCAGGACAGGCCTGGTTTACACGTGTTGTCCTGGCATAATATTAACAGGAAATGAGCACATGCACACATACATACCATTTGCTCTCAGCTTGTCCCAGTTTGGAAGAGAAACTAAATGGACTTTCCAGTCACGTTCACATTCAGGGTCCCAGAGAGCCTGGGAGAAGGTAGAGAAATTCCAAGGGTGGAGACAAACAAACTTCTCTCCTTCTGCCCCAACGAGAGGTGAAATTATTCCCCTTCAGTCAGCAGAGAAGGAAACTCAGAGTCCCCTACCCTGGGCTAGGGCAGAGGCAGCTTCATAGTCTTGTTCCGGGAAAGAGGAAACACTTGAGGAAGAAGACAGAGGAAGCGCTGATCCAGGGAAGGGCAGGAAGCCTGAAGGGAACACAATGCTATCCTACATGTGTCCAGCAGATGGCAACCCGGAGCAGGGCACAAGGGCCATCCCTGCTGCAGCCTGGCAGCTGAGCCCCCACCCACCCCGTCCCAGTTCACTGGTTGCCAGGCATGGCTCTGGGCTATGGCCTCTGCCCTTCTGCAAAGCACATCTAGACTGCAAGGCCCTCTCTCCCTTTTATTCTGATCTCCATCAGCTTTTCCCAGATGATTCCATTGATTGGACTGCAGACTCAATAAATTAAGTCATTTCGCAATTTCACAAGGTATCCCACACACTCCCCGACCCCCAACAGAGGAGGAGGAGAAATCAGAGCCATCAGACCCCATGCAGGGCTGCTGGGCTCCTGGATCCCTGCCCCTCCTGCTGTTGCTCTTGACGCCAGGCTCTTCAGGGATCACTTCTCCACCCATTTGAGGGGTGGATTCCTGAGTACAGAGGTACAGGGCCCATTGTATTTCCTTGAGGTACGAATGGGATCATAGAAACCATGGAATTTCTATATGTTCTGTCATCTAGAGAAGTTAATGCAAATTAGTTGCACGTATATACACATGTGTACATCCATTGGGAATCAGCAATTGGGCATCTGGGGGACTCGGACAGCAACAAAGTGCCCACTCGAGAGACTTAGGAGATCAGTGGGAAGAGAGAACCTGGGCTGGGGTACATGGGTTTCCTGCAGTCACCCACCCAAAACCCCTCCCCGGGGAGCACGAAGCTAGACCCTGCCTTAGGCAGAGGTCCCGCCCTGCAGGCAAGCAGCTGGTGTCTGCTTGGTTGGCCCTTGGGCCTTGGTCCCAGGCCTCTACCATTTCCCTCCAGATTCTTCCCAGGCCTGACATTGGGCTCAAATTGGGAATATTATCCCCTTTCTCCCCTGCAGGAGAGTTCTTATGAAGAAGAAAAATAGGGATCACAAAATCCCTAGAATGATTTCAAAGACACCTGATCTCACACTTGCACATCATTAATAAAATAGCTGCTGAGTTCTGGAAGTTCACACTTGCCCAGTTCTTACCTGCAATGAGTGAACTTACCAAGTATTTATTGAGCGACTTCTACAGCCACACCGTGGTGGATGCTGGCGACCGTGGACTCTGCATTTAATAAGCTCTAAATCGAGCAGGGGGAGCAAACCACGCCATAATTCACTATAACACAGACAGATTTAGACCAGAGCCAGTATGTACAAATATTATGTGAGAAAGCCCAAGAAGGAAGCATGATATTCTCCCTTTCTGCCAAGGGAGCCAGCAAAAACTCTACCAAGGATATGACGTTTGAACTTAGCCCTGAAGAACGAGCAGGGTTCCGCTCGGGGGAGGAAGAACAGAGGTCTGAAACAGTGGTGTCTGACCAAGGGGGAGGGAGACGTACAGAGAGCACAGGGAAGGGCCCGACGGGTCAGCTCCCAGGTCCTCGAAAGAACATTGAGGAGAAAGGACACATCCTGCCCCCACTGACCCCGGAAGACGAAGACGCTCCTTAGAGAATCATGTTTCCCCCACTCTGTCCCCATGGACTCCAGACTCCCTCTCACTGGACTTGGCCTGGCTGGCAGAGCCACTCCGGGAATACCTGGCAGGAAGTCCACGTGCTAATTAAGCATTCAGCTCATGTCGAGACCTGACCACCAGTTGGCCAAGCAGATTAAAGGCCACTAAGGAGCTGTGGGGGGAGGCCTGAAGGCACCGAAACCACTTTGGCTACTCTCACCCAGAGGAACCTCCTCCAGGCTCATTCATTCATTCATTCATTCATTCATTCATCCGAACACAGAGTATAGGATTTGGCGGCTTTGTGGTTTTTAGCCTCAGTTTCCTCATCAGCAAAATAAAAATACTAGTATCAAATATGTTGGGTTTTTATGAAATTAATGTATAGAGAGTGCCTGGCCCATAGCAGCACTAAATAAATGATAGCTGTTAGTTCGAAGGGTAATGCCTTAGGCTAGGAACTAAGAATTTGAAAATGAGTAAGAGACCTGAGTAAGAAGATAATAAATAAGAATAAGAAAATGATTCAGAGTCCTGGCCATAGGACCCCACAATCCACAAAAGAGCATGATGAATGTTGGGTTACAAAGCACCAAGAAAGCTCAAAGAAAAGCTACATCTGTAAGCAGGTCCAGTACAGGAGCAGGAATTTGCAGTAGCAGGAATTTGCATTCTGAGCTCCTAAGTAGAACTGGGCAGATAGCTCTGTCCCCTGCACATAAACTGGGGGTCGCCCAGAATTTCAGGGGGCTGCTTGGGTTTGTTTTTGGTGACACTTTCTTTTCAATCCCCGTTGTAAGACTTGCCAAACTGTGACTCAGAAGTTAAGTCCTCTCCAGCATGAGGCCACGTTGGTCCGGCTAATGTGAGCCTCAGAGAAGGAATGAGCCCAGATAATTCCCACCTCCTCCTCTCGTGCCTCAAGAAATAGCAGGACAGGGCTCACGTTCCCGCCACCTTGAGTGCTGAGAAAGCATAAGAGAACAAGAAAGTGGATTCCTAGAAGCTAAGGTGGTTCAATCGGGTCCAAATCACCAACTGCAAAGGCAGAGGTGGTGGTTACACAGCTCCATCTCCCTTCACATGTGCAAAGGAGTGGAGGGCACTGTGGACAATAATTCACTCCGTGGGAACCACTGGTGGATTGTGGTCACCATGAAAGCTAGTTCAATCTTGCACACACCGATGGCACTATCCAGTTGGAGGGCAGCGAGAGTCCTATTGAACTTGGAGCAGCACAGGCTGAGCGTTAGGCGGCCAGCCAGCTGCAGGTCCCATGGACAGCTGCGCGCTGTCAGGAGACGGCATGGGCCTCAAAATCGTGCACTGAAGGATGGGTGAAGGAACCTGAAAAAATCCAGGAGAGCCCAGCAGCTTCCTTCTAATGTCAACATGACTGTGACATGACTTCTGATCATAAAGGAGGTGCCACTATAAAGAAGGAAAAATCATGTCAGCCACGATGACTCCCAGAGATGAGTCCCTCAGCCACTGCTGTAGGTCCATGGGACATATGCCAACCCGACATATGCCAACTCACACAGTGGCATGGAACGGCAGCGTGCAGGACTGTACCTCCAGTCTACTCAGGCTGTCCAGCTGGAGCCTCCCAGGGGAAGGGGGAGCATGCCTCCATATCCTCCCAACTCCAGCCACCTCAGTCCTCTGCATCCTTTTCCTCTCAGCCCAAGAGGGCGGTCATTCTCGGCTCCGCTGCTGGATTTGGCAGTGGAGGGAAGGAGAGGGGTCTCTGTGCAAATATAACCACAATTACACCCCTGTGTGTGAGCAGTAACTTCCTAATACCTTATTAATTAAGAAAAAATGTCTGCTTCCTTCTGCTTCCTTCCTTCCTCCTACTACCTAAGTCTGTGGCTCTAGGAAGGGCAGTGGCAGGGCACAAAAAGAAATAGTTATCCCAGTGCATTTACAATGTCAGCTAGAAAATGGTTATTGGTCTGCTTTTATCAGCCCCATGACATGAATTTTATAATTCAGACAAACGGAGAGGCCACAAAGAAACGCAACTGCAAACATCGACTTGCCCAGGAGTGGAACACAAGTCTGTCTCAGGAGGCGGTCTGTCTCAGGAGGGTAGGTGTGGAACTCCCAAAAAGTGACCCACCAAGGGGACCCCAGCACTGGAGTGGGGGGTGAGGATTAGATCTCTTTAAGACCCTCTCCAACTCTGATTCTATGAGTTATATAATTAGCACTGCATTTGCATGGGACCAGCGTTTGGGACACTCAACCTAGTAAGCTGATGGACAATCCTTTTAAATTAGCTGGTGTGGAGAAAGGGTGGTAAACACAAGTCTTTTAAGGTATCTTCCACCTCTGAGCTACCTATTTTGTGATTCCAGGTTCTGAAAGAATGTCAGCAAATCCACAAAATTGATGAGATGCAAGTCAACCTTCTGCGTCAGGACAACACCTGGGAGTGTGTGAGTGTGTGTGTGTGTGTGAGTGTGTGTGTGTGTGTGTGTGTGTGTGTGTGTGTTGGGTGGGGAGTGCAGATGAGGGCAAAAAAGACAAGCATCTAACAGTCCAGAGCTTGGGCGCACACACCCTCACAAGATACACATCCCTCACACATATAGTAGAAATCCAGAATTGAACTTGAAGCTGGTCGCAGAGACAAGGCCCAGCAATCTCAAGGCCAGAGTAGTTTCACCACCAACCCCCGCCCAAGCTGCTAGTCACAGCCTCTGTTGTTGGGGACACAGCCGCCTCCACCTCCTCTCCAAAGCCAGGGTTTTCACCTTCAATGCAGAGGAACAGGGCAACCTAAGGCACCAGACCTCAGAACCAACACCAACCTGCCAAAGCACAGGCACTCGCTTCGGAACGAGGAACAGGGGTAGGGCTGTGCAGAGGCACTGCCCGCAGGAGCCAGAGGGCCATGCCCACTGTGGCTGTGGGTGAGTGTCCTCTAGTCACCTCACTACCAGGCACCCCCCACTTCTCACTCCCCTGCCTGTCCCCAGAAGTCCTGCTCTCTTTCTGTCCCTCCAACGCAGGTGACAGGCAGAGATGGACACAGGAGGCTTCCTGTCCTGGGTAAGGCTCTAGCTCAGGGCATGGTGGGCGCTCCATGGCTCAAGTACAGCCCTCCCCACAGACTTCTCATGACTTCCCCCCTACAACCAGACTCCTGACAGCAACCTCAGTATCACGACCCTCGGCAGACACGTCCTCCCTCCTGCAGGACACAACACCCCCTACACTGTCTCCTCCACTTCACACTGGCCAGTCAGGGAAGAACAGGCTGTCCTCTCCTAGAGTCCCACCCTTGAACCTCAAAAGCTGCCATGCCCTGAGCCAGCTCATTACCCAGGACATCCAGGGGCCTTCCTCTCCCTGAGGAACCAGAGAGACTTCCACAGGACTTCCTGGGAGGGATCCTTGCAGCTTGAAGCAGGAAGGGAACGAAACCCCTGACTCAGCTCCTAGAGACTGCTCTTTCCTTTGCCTCTTGGAGAAACAGACACCACAGCAGCTGCACCAAGGCCCACAACACAACACCCCCCAATCTGGAGTCCATCCAGACTGTGGATGACTTCACCGCTAACCACCATCACAGTAAGTCACCCCTTCCCCAAATGGTACTGCTTTCTAGGTCTAAAGAAATCTGAAAGGCTCACTAAAAATAACTGCTTTTGAAATCAGCCATATGTCCTTAAATGCAGAGAGTTTCACCCCAACCCTCCCTGTCCCCTGCCCAGTTCTTACTGACCCATCCTCAAATAAACTCAGTTTGCGTCCTGCCTGGATAGTCCCAGCCTTGGCACCGCCCCTCCTCTCCCCTTAGCGGGATGAACTGGTCAGCAGAGGCTGTCAGCAAGTAAAGGGGGAAATTGCTGGAAACGGCCAATCACTACTCTTCCCCCTGCTCCAGATACCTCCTCTTCTGGGCACAGAATATCCTGCACACCTGTCTGCTCTTCTTCAAACAGCACGACCCCCAACCCCACATGTCAAGAGATGCTGGCTCTCCAAACCCCGCCAGAGAGCAGAGATCCCCGAGCTCAGGTGAGGCTGGGAAGGAGGCAAGAGCGTCGACAGGGCAGTGCCATCAAGGCAGCAGAGAAGCTCTTCAAGTATTTTATTATTAACACTTAAGAAAAGAAACTATTTATTAAGCACCTACTAGGTGCCAGAAACTATGGCAGATACTTTATTTCAGATATTCTCAATAAGCACAGGAAAGGATAAACTATCCCGATTTTACAAATCAGAAAATTGCGGCTCAGAGAAGTCACTTCTATTTCCTAGAAGGTAGTGCCCGCCTAGTTTTGGGGAGCTTTCATGCTAGGAGACTGACCTCTACTCCATTGAATTCCCCTATTAATATTTCATACCTTGGGGATGCAGCAGCAGGGGGTTGCTTTGCAGGAGTCAGAATCCAAGGAGGAAATATTCCCGGGAGTTATCAAGTACCGGCTGGGGCCCCTTCTGAAGTCTCCACTCCACTTGCAACGCCCATGCTACCCACACAAGCCTGGAAGTCAATACAAGCCTCCATGGCGCCCCTTCAGGAGTACCCGTGGAGAATATTCCAAGCCCTGGCAGACAGAGCCTGTGACTTACCCTGGGGAAGAGACTTCCCACTCAGGTGAGACGCAGCCTGGTAGGAACAGGATGGCAGGGCTAGAGTGGCGCTCTCTGCAAAGCAGGGTCTCAACCCTCTATTCCCAGCACACCTCACTTCACCTTTCCCAGGGCACGCCTGTTCCCCGCGGTGGGAGTCGCCAACCTGGATGAATACAGTAAATAGCAAGGGTCCTCCCTTAAGATCCTCTCAGGGAGCACTTGGCTACGTGGCCAGCCAGGACCCTTGTGGGAGGGCACTGTGCCAACCACCACACCCTAGCCCAACCTCCTCATGTTTGGACCACCTGGGGGCTCTGTAGTCCAGGCTTTCAAGGCTCAGGTGATCCAAGAAGCCTGAAAGGCTACTCAGGGATGCCACACTAAGGACTCTATACTTTAAGTCTTGGGGAGATACCCCACCACCACCACGAGGGTTAGAGTAGTGGAGGAAGCAACGTTGATATATTTTGGGTCTGCTATTCCTGCTATAAAAGGCTGTCAAGTAGAGCTGGCTGCACAGGAGCCAAGGCTGGGTCCAAATCCCCTTAATCTCATGACTGCCACAGAGAGGAGCCCTCCGCACATTCTTATTCCCCTTAGGTAACTACTACGTGGCCACTACTCACCAGATTTCGTTCCAGAACCCTCCTCTTGGCCAGTTGATAACCCCGATTCACATTCAGGGCAGAAAAATAGCTCCAAGAGAGCAGCCAGGCAACATGGAGTGTATCAACCAGTATCAGAGGGACAGCCAAGCTCATGAGTGCAGTCAAGTCCTCCAACATGACCCAGACAAGAACAAGTGAGTAGCCAGAACTGTCAGCAAGCTCCCCGGTTGTAGTGGGGGAAGGGGCCAGCGGAGGGCTCCTTTTCCCAAGACAAAGGAAATAACTTCCAAACTCAGTCTTCAGCTCATAGTTGTAAGAAGCAACAGAAAACAGGGCTAACGGTCTTGAAATCCTGGATCTGTAAGATTCACTTAGTCCTCTTACCTTGCTTTAAGCAAGGATGAACTATATGCTGCTCATAACTGGAGTTCATACTTCCCCTGCACATCCCAGGAACACATGGACTTTAACTGCAAGGCAGAAGGTAGCATAAATAGGGCCTCCCCTGGTGGCGCAGCGGTTGAGCGCTGGGCTGCGAAGCTGCCCACAGCCTCTGCTGCGCCGGTTTGATCTCCGGCCACCAGTGAGGGTCCCACATGGCGTGCAGACCTCTCCTGCGGCACCTGCTGCTCCCCTCAACAGTGTACTTCGGTCCTTCTGCCTGTTCTGCTCCTTGCTCTGGCTCTGGTGAATTCGCTCACCCTCCCGCGCTTCTGACTGTACCCAGTGCTTGTATAAATAAATAAATCCTTAAGATGTAGCGTTAAGTAGCCAGGGTGATCCATGTGAAACTATAGAGAATCAGGTATTCCTGGTCCTGTCTCCTCCCTGATAAAAAGCCTACTTCCTTGGGGCTCCAGAATGGCCTGCTACATCCCTACAACTCATCCCTGAAGAGTAAGAAGGCCCAGCTCCAACCCAATGCACACATATTACACCAATGTTACAGAAACCAGGTATACTACAAAGCAGTAGATGAGAGGGTAACATTCACCCCGAGGTGACCAGGGACACCAGCCTACCATCAAAATCAGCTCTTCTCCCCCAAGCAAACATACTTCCAAGCTCTCATTTCCCAAGACCACATTCTCTTGGCGGTAGCCTCTGGCTGCCTTGCAGCGTTTTTTAGAAACGCTCTCCATTGCAGCCCTATCCTCAGCTGCAGGTGTCTCAACCTCTCCGCTAGGTCTTAGCAGGATAAACTGGAGAGTATGAAAAGAGGTAAAATAAATTAAAATTTTTCTTCCAGAGAAGAAATAAATTATCATCTGAAAAAAACACCGTATTTTAGGCAGACACAAATGAAAGTCAAAGAAAGCATGCAGCTGGCACAGTGGCCTTCTGTTTGGCATGCCTGGATTGGCTCACAGGTATAGATGCTGATCAGCATCTACAGAAATATTTTTAACCCATGGAGCAACTATATCCAGACTACACAGAAGGGCACTGGCCCTCACTGGCAGCCCACCACCTATCAGCATCAGAAGCCAGTTGCCTGAAAAAAATGATCTTTCTGGGTGGGAAGGGCACTGCCAGGTCTGGAGAGATAATAAGCATAAGGCTCTTAACTAGTCCTTCAACCCATAGGCTGGGATCAGGGAACAAAGGAAAGAATTTACCCTGTCAGGAGGCCCCAACCCCATTTTTCTTGGAAAATCTGGAAATAGGGCTTTCCAAAATGCAGCCACTTACAGGCTCCCTGACCCCAGTGGTCAACATGTACTTGACACATGGTAAGTACTTAATAAAGACAGCAGTTAAAATCATTATTATTTCCCCAGAAATGCATTCCTCTCTTCCCAGATGTCTTAACCTACCTCCTCCCAAAACTCTGGTAGGAGTCCAGGCTAAAAGCCTCTCAAGCACACTCAGGGCCCTCAAAGCCAAGTTCCAAACTGAAACTACTAGCAAGCAATCCTTCAAGGATGGTGGAACTCAGCCCCAAGTGTGCAGTGAAGACCCGCATAACAGAGGCTATAAGAACTTCCTGGTAAGAACTCCTGCTCCCTATGGTGGGGGGGCAGTTCCCTGGACACCCCCTTTACCTCTCACCTTGCTGCTAGGGTGAGGATGAGTGGTGAGAAAACTGGAAGGAGAGGAGTCTGGTATTTAAGTCCTGCTTTTTTACACCTCAGTTATTCTGACCAAGTTAACCTCTCTGTACTGAAATTTTCTCTCCTAAAAAAAAAAAAAAAAAATAGATAGAAAACCAGACCCTGCTTACTAAGAACTAGTGCTTTGTTTAGCTGTGATTCCTGTAATTCGTTAGCTGACAGAGGGTGCTGAAGCTAACAATCAAGGAAGGGAAACTGACTGACAGCTCTCTGCCCCTCCCAAGGGTATGGGTTCACAAGTACCAGATGAGGATCAAACTACCACGAGGACCACCTACCTGCCCCTGTTTTCTCAAAGGGTGAACCTGTGTAAGCCCAAGGTCGTCAGCATCAAACGTAAGGCAAAAAGACCTCCTCTGCTTAACAAAGGAAAACACTGAGGTACGAAGGAGAAACTGAGTCATTCCCAGATACAGTAATGGTACCTGCAGATGGCAAAAGCCAGTGTCACAGGGGAATCGACTCACCTACAGCCTGGCCCCATAACCTCTCTGCTTATTTTTACAGACCAGTCCTGCTGCCTGAAAACTGGCTTCAGAAGTAAGTACTTATGCCAACAACAGAACTCAAAACTAAAAAGAGAGAGAGAGAGAGAGAAACAAATCAGGAAAGAAACCGCCCAAATAACCTAGGAAAAAATGCACACTTCAGGACACACATCTAACTTGCTCAAGCTTAAAACCAAGGACGCTAGACAGCTACCTCACAGCCTAGACTCAGCTTTCTTATAAGAATTTCCCAGGCACACCTTCACTCTAACCCAGTTCTGACACTGATTGAGCAAGGATAACTTCTTAGAAAGGAATGATGCACTTTGTGTCTTAGAAGGTACAGGAAACCTGAAGGCAAGAGAGGCCAGAGTATTTCTCTCTTATTAATGAATCATTGGCAAAGCATCTGAACGCTTCTCAGTATCATCAACTAATTATATTCTATTCGGGCTACAGTGTCTGCTCACTGCTGCTTTATTTTATGTTTTTTGAAATAAATCATGTATCATAAAATTCACCCTTTTAAAGTGTACAGTTCAGTAATTTTTGGTATTGTGCATGTATTTTTAAGTCTAAATACCCAAGTGGAGGTTTTGTAGAAAAGAAGAGCAGGAGGGTCAGAATCTGAGCAAAAAAAAAAAAAAAATGGAATCTCTTCCATGCAGAGAGAGACTTCCAAAGCCTAAGTAAGGGAGATTCTAAGCAAAATCTATACTTCAGGTCTCTCCCTTTAAAATCTTGACTATATTGAAGACAGCATTAATTTTCTGGATTTAAGGTATAGCCAGGAAGCAGAGAAGACTATGCAAGTGGACTTAGCCACCCATGTCCTTGAGAGATTCTAAAGTCTATAAATTTGACAAAACACAGTTTTGGGGCTTGCTTTCCCCAGTGCAGAAAAGGCACATCATACTGCCCTCTTGCAGCCAGTCTGGAAAATGACAGCCAGCTACCAGCTAAACAGGCTTGGAGGTCTCTGCCTTACAGGATGTGCTGTGATAATACACTCAAATTGAGGCAGGAAAAATTATCAGTTTTCAAATGCCTACAAAACACAGAACTCACCTGAAATAGACTCTACCTCAGTAGGCTTGAAACCAAATAAAAAAAATTCCTTTTTAAGGGGGAAAAATGTGGTTTAAGCTTTCCAAACACTTGAGCCTCTTTGGTCAGGCTACTATAACAAAAATACCATAGACTGGGTGGCTTAAAAAATAAATATTTATTTCTCACAGTTCTGGAGGCTGGGAAATCCAAGGTCAAGGCGCCAGTAGGTTCAATGGCCGGTGAGGATCAGCTTCCTGGTTTAAAGGCGGGTATCTTCTTGCTGTGTTCTCACGTGACGGGATGAGCAGAAGCCTCTCCTGGGCCTCTTTTATAGTGACACTAATTACATTTATGGGGGCTCCATCTTCATGACCTAATCATCTCTCAAAGGTCCCACTTCCTAATACCATCACAGCAGGGGCTAAGATTGCAACATACAAATTAGGGGGGATAAAACATTCAGTCCATAATAGTCTCTTAATGCAAGTTGATCCTAAGAAACAATGTGCAGCCCCACAAAAATTAAGTTAAAACCTGAACCCATATGGAAACAAACCCAGGTAGGTGGAAGTGTGACAAAAGAGTGGGTGCAGAATCCAGTGTCCAGAGCCTATATTGCCTAGGGATTTTTTTAAAATAAGCTTTTTGTTTTGGAAAATATTCAGATTTACATAATGCCATAAAACAATAGTCTATTTACAATTCAACTATAATCTCCTACAAAATTATGGTACATTTGTCAAAACAAAGAGATCAATGTTGGCATTTTTCTATGAACTACATAGCAGACTTAATTTGGATTTCACCAATTTTGCCACTAATGCTCTAATCTTCGGCCTTTAAAAATGTGTTTACAGCAAGGAGACAACAGATCACCTGAGAGGCGTGAAACCCAGCAGAATACCACATGGGCACTGTGTAACTTTGGATTTTATTTCCTGAGCTTGTTTCCTCCCTAAAAGTGCCTCTGCTGCACAGGCACTAATTAGACACAGCCCAGTTTACCTTCTCTAAGCTCTCCTCTGACAACACTGGCCAGTCAGGAAAGTGACATCCCCAACTTGGTAGTGCCTCCAGCTGACTCTCCTGTTGAAGAATAAAGTCCTTTTGGGGTGGTCAGGCCTAAAATTATTTCAAAATTCATGCATGTCTCAATGGCTGGTGGACGGCAGCCTTTCTGCAGGAGTCTGAGAAGTGCACACTGCAGCCGAGATGACTGCTCTCCAACCACATCCAGTTTTCCCTTAACTCCTGCATGAGTATTACATTGCCTAGGCTTCCCTGACTGAGCAGCAGCCATGTAAGTTCTAGCCAGAAAAATCTGAGTGGAAGTATGTGTCATTTCGAGAGTTGGCCCGTAACATCTGCCAAGCGGTCCTCTGACAAAGGCTCGACTTACTAAAACAGTAATGCCTAAAGCAACCTTGGAAGCCATGTTAACACTGGCATCAGGCTGGTCCTGAAATGACTTCACAGAGCAAAGCTACCCTCTCACTGGCCCCTCCTGAAACCACTCTGGGCACTCTATGTGTGAGGTGAAAGAAAAAGCTTGTAATGTGCTAAACTAGCCCAACTGGAAGATGCCGCAGCAGTCTGGACGCCCCTACCCATTGCAGGTTCTGTACGGCAATTCCATTAGAGCAAGACCTTGATTCCAGATGGCTGTTCAGGGCCATCAAAACACAGAACCAAAATGCTCATATGCCCATATTCAGGACACGCCATCACATTCACCTGTGCCTGGGCCCGTTGTTTCACTTTGCCTCCTCCATTCCACATTCCAGGCCTATTCTGTTCCCTCCCATGTGCCCTACTGCAGTGAGTCAAGGGGCATAACCGCCATAGAAAGTAATGGTGCTTTGTATGTTTACTTAGTTGTTTTTTGCTGTAAATTCCTTGTTTTTCTTCACCTAGAGTCTATCATGTCGCCGAGTTCCTAACTCTTGCATCTGACTGCTCTATATTATATGTCATCATTCATATTTACCACATTTTACTTATCAGTTCCCTTAGGAACAGACATCTAAGTTGCTTTAAACTTCTTCGACCCAAACTGTACCAAGAAAAACATCCTTCTACATAACTTCATGTGGATTTGTGCAAGTTTCTCTTAAGTATACAGTCAGCAGTGGAACTGCTTTGATGCAGGGTATGTACATTTAATGAGTTATTTATTGTTGTGAAAGAAATTACCTCAACCCAATGGACTATGGTAGAGGATCATTAGGACTCTGGTGGTAGGAATAGTGTAATAACATACAATTGTGGAGGTGTGTAACCTACAGCCCTGCAACATAAACAGTGCTGTAAATCAACATAACTTCATTAAATACAGTTTTAAAAAAATAATGCCCTCATAATGAGAAGAAATTTTGTAAATCAGATATCTGATAAAAGATTTGTGTTTGGAATATGAAAAGAACTCTACTTCAGAATGTATGTGTGAGGGCCTCCCTGGTGGCGCAGCGGTTGAGGCGCTGGGCTGTGAAGCTGCCCACAGCCTCTGCAGCACTGGTTCAATCCCCGGCCACCGGCAAGGGTCTCACATGGCGCAACAGACCTCTCCTGCTGCACCCGCTGCTCCCCTCAGCAGTGTACTTCGTCAGTCTGTCTTTTCTGTTCCCCGCTCTGGCTCTGGTGAATTCTCTCATCCTCCCGCACTTCTGACTGTACCCAGTGCTTATATAAATAAATCAATCTTAAAAAAAAAAAAAAAGACTATGTGTGAGTGTGTGTATCTGTCTATTAATAATCCAATTAAAAAATGGGCAAAGAGTTTGAACAAATATTTCTCCAAAGAAGATATATAAAGATGTTCAACATTAGGCATTAGAGAAATGCAATCAAAACCACATTTATATCATTTCATACTTACTAGGATGGCTAGAATCAAGAAAACAGATTAATAACAAGTGTTAGCAAGAATATAGAGAATTGGAAATTTCATGCATTGCTTTGGAAGTTTAGTATTTCCTCAAAAAGTTAAACATGGAGTGACTGTATGACCAACAATTTTACTCCAAGAAAAATGAAAACATATCCACACAAAAACTTGTATGTGAATGTTGTAGCAATATTCATCACAACAGCCAAAAAGTGGGACCAACTTAAATGTCCATCCACTAATGCATGAATAAATAAAATGTGGTAGATCTACACAAGGAATGAAGTACTAATTTATACTACAACAAGGATGAAACTTGAAAGCATGCCAAGTAAAAGAAAAAAGTCTTTAAAAATAGGCTATTGTATGATAGATCCATTCACATATGAAATGTCTAGAACAGGCAAATCCATACAGACAGAAGGGAGGTTGGTGGCTACCTAGGGGGAGCTGGGGACAAGTGTGAAGAGACTGCTAATTGACACAGGTTCCTTGTATCTCCAGAGTGACTGAAATGTTTAAAAACTGTGATGGTTGCATAACTGTGATATGCTATAAACTACTTAACTGTATACTTTAAGTGGGTAAATAGTATAGATATGAACTGCATCTTAATAAAGCTATTTTTTAAAAAAGACATTAAATACCTATTATCTCACAGTCTCTTTGGTTCAAGTATTTGGCAGCTGGGTGATTCTGACCTAGGTGCTCTCATGAAGTTGCGGTCACGCTGTCAGACCTGCACGCATCTTAAAGGCCTGAAATGGCACTACAGGATCCACTTCAAAGGTGGCTCACTTACGTGGATGGTAACTTGTTGCTGTCTGTCGGTGAGATGTCTCGGTTCCTCTCCAATTAGGTCTCTCCAGAGGGCTGTCTGAGTGTCCTCATGACATGGCATCTGGCTTCTTCCAGAGCAAGTGATCCAAGAGAGTACAAGGCGTAAGCTTCAATGACTTTCAAGACCTTGCTTCAGAAGTCACACGTTTTCCGGTACATTCTATCAGCTACACAGAGCAGCCCTATTCGTCATGGAAAGGGACTACACAGGAGCTTGAACACCAGGAAACACTGAGGGTCATTTTGATGATGAGAAAGACTGATAACAAAAGCTAACAACCTCTGTGACATGTACTATGTGCGAGGCACTGCTCTAAGCTCACAAGAAACCTATGAGGTAGGTACTACTATTTCCATTTTACAAATGAAGAAACTAAGGCACTGAGAAGTTAAGTGGCTTATCAAGGTCATCACTTAGCAAAAGACATACCTGGGATTCAAACGTAGGCAGTACAGCGCCAGAGCCACACTCTTAAAAACTATACAATACTGCACCCCAGATATCACTTTTAACTAAGTATTGCCCATCAGTCTCCAGAATGAATGTACAAGCTGAAAGTCCCTATGAGCTTTCATTCCCTATGAGTTCAGTTTCTTGCTTATTTTTGCCAACCAATAGATATAAAATAGAAACTTAATGTTTGAACTTACATTTCTCTAATTACTAGTGAGGTAATATATGTATCAGTCATTCTGGTTTTCTTTCTAGATTTTACCTTTTTCACATTCTCTGGCCAATTTTATTTTGTGTTTTTTCCCTGGATTTCCACTCTTTCTCTATTCAGTACCTTACATAGGCAATCCCTTGTCAGTTTTAGACTCTGCAAATATTTACTCATCTTTACCTTTAAGTATAGCATGCTCTGTTAATTAGATAGTTTTAATTATGAAGTATCAGACCTTACAGATTGTGCGTTGGGAATCTCATTTAACAAACTAACTCTCACCCCAAGGTCACAAAGATATTCTCGTTATTTTCCTACTGGCTTTAGCATTATACCTTTCATGTCGGACTTCAATCACTTTGGGACTTGTCTTTGTTTTACATGGTTTGTGGTAGGGATCCAACATTATTTCTGTCCATATAATAAACCAATTTTCTGAGCATCATTATCCATCTCTTCTCCACTAATCTGTAATGCTACCTTCATCATACACCATGTCTCTAAATGCCCAAATCTATTCCTAAGACTAGGTCACCAAACTCTTATCTCTAGGAGGGAGAACATATCACTGTGAGAGTTTTTACTCATAGTGCTTTCTAGATTATTGAGAATTTCATCATCTTCTAAGATCCCTTGTACTTCAGTACTAGCTTATATTCTTTCCTAAAATGAAATAGCCCATTAAGAAGATGATTAAAAAAATAGTTACATGTTTATTAAAAAAAGAAAAAGCCTTACCAAGAACAAACCCTGGGACACTGAGAAATCAATGCTTCCTCTGAAAACCAGCAACAACCAGTGTTGTACACCTGAGAAGTACAGTGCCTCAGTACAAACATCATGTCTCAAATATTCTTCATACTCAAAACTGGCATTCAAGCAGTTTCTGATCTCTGTGGACCCCAATTATTAGTATAGTCAACAGTTATTGTTGGCTGTCTGGCTGCCCAAGTCCACTACCACAACCCATCACCACCCCCACAGTCTCAGAAAAGTTACATATCCTCAACACTCCACTTATAGGCAAGTTCCTCTACCGCCTTCTTGCTGGCAAGCCTGGCAAAGCGCTTCTGTTCAAATCCATTGGATCTGCAATCAAGAGACATACCAATCAGCCAGAATCCTGAACTGGACACTTACTTTTGAAAAAAAAGAGAAGAAATCACAATACAATGAATAAGGAAGAGAGCAAGACAGGGGGTAAAATTTTAAGGCATAGGCAACAGAATCAAACAACTTTCAAATTGTACCACTCACTAAAAGGTCAGCTCACTCTCAGGTGATGTCTACATCTTATACTTTATCTATTCACTACACAAACATTTACTAAACTCTTATAGTAGACACTGAATCATGAAATTGAATGACAGACAGTCCTGATGAACTCACAGGCCAATGGAGACTGGCATTTAAACAAATAACTAGTAAAAAGCAATTAAACAAGTAACAATAAAAAGCATGAACTATGGTAGAAATATGCACTGAGTATCATGGAAACAGAACGGGGATCCTACTTAGCTTTGGAGGGGGATGAAAAAGAACAGCCAGGAAAGGTTTTATGGAAGTGGTCCCTAAAACTAAGTGGTCCCTAAGCTAAGTCTGAAAAGACAGATTAAACCAAAGGGTTGGACGTACGGAGGGTAAGGAGGACATCTCAGGACAGAGCACAGCCTGAGCAACAAGAGCACAGGCACAAAAATAAGAAATAGCCCGGTATATGCAGAGAACCAACAGCAAGCTGGTATGGCTGAAGTCTAAAACATGACAAGGGAGTAGCACAAGACAAAGAAAGGCAGGCAGAGGCCAAATCATAATGAACTTTGTAGACCATGGGAAAAAGCTTAAATTCTATCCAGGAGGGAAAGTGTTAAAGCAGGAACATTAAACTACACTTTGAAGAGCTCACTCTGGAGGAGATCAGAAGCAAGAAAGTTACTGCAATGGTCCGGAGAGCGTTAAAGCAGGAACATTAAATGACATTTTGAAGAGCTCACTCTGGAGGAGATCAGAAGCAAGACAGTTACTGCAATGGTCCAGGCAACAGATGTTGAAAACAATGATAAAGAAGTGGGACAGAAAGGGAGAAGACATGGTAGGGTTTAGCGATCGCCTACGGATACAAGAACAAAGAAGGAGAAGGTAAATATGACTTGTAGGTTAATAATTTTAGTGACTAGATGAGTGAGGCTGCCACAAACCAGGATAAAGAACACAAGAGCAGGAGCAGGTGTAGAGAAGGTGAAGCTGATGAGATCACTTTTGAATACCCTGCATGAAGGCACCTAAAGTACTTACCAACACACAGCTAAATATACCAGATTGAGCTGTAAATACAGATTTGGGGAGCACATATGTACAGGTGGTAACTGAAGGTGTGAACTCAGTTAAGATTCAGCCAATGTAGATAGAAAGAATAGCTAAGGGTTACAATTGGAGCCCTGAAAATATTTAAGGGGCGAACAGAGGAAGAGAAACTCATCAAGATGGCCTAGAAGAAACGTGAGAAAAGAACCTGGAGCAGGATTTCAGTAGCCGATCTCAAGTCCCCTGTAATACCATGTGTTCTTTCTGTCTTCTTACAGCAACATCTTGAAAGAGCCTGTATTCACTCTATACTTCACCTCTCACATCAGAAAATCCCTAACACTTTAGAAAATCCTGCTGCTCTATACAGTGAGGAGCAAACCAAAGCAGTGAGCTAGCCTGAAACCACAACTGTTCTGAGGATACCTGGCAGTATCAAGAGCGACTGCCTTGAATTTTGATGGCAGCTTGAGGACTGAATGCCTCCGCCCATATAAACCAGGGTAGTGGGTTCCAGTCATGGTGGAGGAACTTGAACAGACTAACCTATCTTCAAACAGCAATTCTGAAATCTGAACAAAACATAAAAATACAAGTATTTGAATGACCAAAAGCTGGCAGAACTGGATGGAGTTTATGAAGAGCTTTGTGAGGTTTTTTGCCAGAGCCAATTTCCAGAAAGCCACAGGCTTATTGACTTGAGGTATCAGTGTAAAGTGGGCAGAACAGCTGGTAAATCAGGGAGGTAGTACTGAAAAGAAACAATCTACAAAGGAGAAGAACCACAAAATCCACATACAAACTGCACCCAGATCCTTGGCTAAGTGCTAAAATGTGCATTTGCAAGTAAAAATCTGTGGCGCCCAATTAAAAAGCACCAAGTAGAAAATCAAAGATCTACATAGGGGGGTTAGCTGCTTCCACAGCAAAGGAGACAGCATAGCATTCAAATACAGTCAAGTTAACTGTCCACTAGAATAAAAATCAACACACCTCAGAGGAATGCAACAGAATTCAATCTTTATAATGTATCCTTCATAACATTCAGTAAATGATGAAAACTAACCAGATATGTAAAGAAACAGTAAAAGGTGATCAAACTCAAGAAAAAGTTATTACTAGAAACAAATCTTGAGGTGACCCAGATGTTGCAATTAGCAGATAGACTTTAAAGCACGCTTTATATTCTCAAGGAAAAAGAAAATATCTCAGAATGAATGAACAGATGGACTATCTCAGCAAAGAAATATAAACTATCAAATGGAAATTCTAAAGTTAAAAAATACAATAAAATAGCTGAAATGAAAACCTCATTGTATGGCCTAACAGACTGGAGATGGCAGAAGAGTGAATGAACTTGAAGACAGATCAATAGAAAGTATCATACCTTAAGAATAGAGAAAAATGAATAAGGTTTCAAAAATCTGTAGAAGAGTGTCAAGTCATGGGTAAATAGTGTAGAAAACTGGAGAAAGAGTGGTCCAGAAAAAAAAAAAATTGACAAAATAATAGCCCAATACTGTCCAGATGTAAAAAGCATGGACTCACAGACCCAGAAAACTCACCGAACCCAAAGCAGGATAAATACAAAGAAAACCACACCCAGCTACATCAAAATCAAGCTGCTTAAAACCAAAGAAAAGAAAGAAAATCTTGAAAGCTGCAATACATTACAACATATACATGTAGGCAGAGAGGTAACAGTGGAACAAATGAGGACTGTTTCTGATTTCTAATCAGAAACAACAGAGGGCAGAAAATGACAAACCATCTCTGAAGATGTTCCTTTCGGGCAGACAGAACAATTACAGCACTCTGGTACTGTCAACCCAGAGTTGTAAGTCAGTGAAACTATGCTTCAAAACTGAAGGTGAGAAAAAGGTCTTTAATTAACAGAATTGTGCCTATGTCAATTTCCTTGTTTTAACAACACACACACTACGGTTATATAAGTATTATCACTGGGGGAAGTAACTGCAACATACACTATTTCTCAAGTTCCTGTGAGTCTAACATTATCTCAAAATTAAAGTTTTAAGATGATGAAGATGAAATAAAGACATTTTCATGTCAACAAAAATAGAGAATTTGTCACCAGTATACCTGAAGGAAGGTTAAAAGAAGTTCTTCAGAAAAGAAGGAAACACATCAGACAAGGTAAATATGTGAGTAAGTATTAACTATATATTTTACTTGAAACACTGTATAACTCCCAGTCAGCTGTAATAAGTTACAGATAAATAGTGTGATCCTTAGAGCAAACATTAAAAAAAATTGCAGAGGTACAGCTTTAAAAGAAACAGAGCATTTAAAGTTGCATACTAAATTTTCACACTTAGAATCCAAAACACTGACAATACCAAATGCTGATAAGGAGATGAAACAAAAATCTTCATTTTTTGCTGTCGTATAACGTGGTAATAGCCACTGTAAAAGTCAGGGGGTAGCTTCTTATAGAGTTAAACAATTTCACCACATAATCCAGAAATCGCTAGGTATTTATCCAAGTAAACGAAAACTAAGTTCACATAAAAACTTACACATAGTGGGCAAGTGGGATAAAGGGGTGAATTCTATGGTGGCAGATAGAAGCTGGACTTTGATGGGTATCGTAAGATAGCATATTCAGCATATGCAAACTACAATGCTGTACACTTCTGAAATCTATGTTATAAAACTGTTTAATTACATACAAATTTAAAAAGAAAACATATATAAATTGCAGCATTATTCACAATCACTAAAAACTGTGAGCAACCAAGATGCCCTTCAACTGAGGAGTAGAAAGACTAGTATATCCAAACAATGGAATACTAGTCAGTGATAAAAAGAAATGAGTACTAATTCATGTAAGAACATGGATTAATCTTAAATGCACTTTGCTACGCACTAGAAGTCAGACTCAAAAGGCTACAGAGTGTATGATTCCATTCTTGTGACACTCTGAAAAAAGGCAAAACTAGAAGGCCCAGAAAACAGATCCAGATCAGTAATTATAAGTGGATATACAAGGGGGTATAACTGACTAAAAGGGACACTTACAGGGAATATTTCAGGATGCTGGAACTATTTTACATTGTACTAGGATGGTGGATGATTGACTCTATGGATTTGTCAAACCCCACAGGATTGTACACCATAAAGAGTTAACCTTAAAGGTTATAAAAAACCTTTTATAACAAAACATAAAAGGAAAAAAATCATCCAGGACATCGGGAGACCCCAGGAGAAACATGATAAAAACCTAACTATATCACAAATGTATGACGTAACAGTAATGGGTGAGGGGAAGGACCTGTCATTTTAAGTAATGCTGAAAAATGGTGTTTTGATTAGAAAGAATAAGGATAATAACACAAGAAACTGCCTATAAATGTTACTCTAGTTGGTAAATTTGTTTCTCATTTCTGAAATTCTCAATTCTGAAACTGTCTTACATGTACACTAGGATAAGCAAAGTGAATAGCAGATGTGGGTGTCAGGTTTCTCAATTGGAGAAGAAATAATTATAGATAAGCAAGAAGGAAAAGTAATACTGGATTAGAGTCAGCTACAACAATATGAATTGATACACTTGTGTATATTTTTGTATACATATATCTATCTAAATATACACATATATACATTTACATCTACACACACACACGCAACAGATGGATAAATACAGAGGTAATTATAGATATGTACGTATACATGGATTTTATACATGCATTACCTAATTCTATCTGAGATGGTCCAGACACTTCAATAAAAATAAATACCCACAACTGTCAGATCTTGGTTTCTAAATAGCATTCTCTATTAAACGCAGCCAGGGCTCCTTAGAGAAGTAACTGATTCTACGGTTGGAGCAGAAAATACCAGATGAGCCTGGAACATCTTGTAGTAGCAGAAAGTACAGGAGTACTCAAAAATAAAAGGATGGGGGTGTGTGGAAGGGACACCTGAGAGACCAATAGCCAGAACGGAACAATCTGAGCAACAAAAGAAACACCACCGCTGGGTTACATCACGGAGTCTAAAATATACAGGAGTCCATGCTGATTTAAACAAATGAGTGAATAAAAGGGGAAACTAAATAAACACGCCTTACAGAACCAAATAATATCTATTAGGTATCTCCCCCCACAGGTCCGCTTTTGATATAAGTTGAATTCAGTGACTCACTTCCAGACAAAAGAGACTAGAAGGGGGAAAACAGTAATTTTAAAATGAAGAAACCTGGCAAACAATCACTACCTAAACCACATCACTAGTGATGGTGCGTGGATATTACATACCCCTAAAATGACATCATAAGAAGGGCACGTCACCACTGTGGCATTCTTTCTAAAAACCTGTAACCTCAATCTAGTCATGGGAAAAACAACAAACAAACCCCATTTGAGGGCCATTCTACAAAATAGCCAACTATACTACAAAAATTGTCAGGTTACATACAAAAAGCACAGACGGAGAAACTGTTAGAGATCAGAGAAGACTTAGGAGACGTGACCAATGAAGGCATTTTCAGTAGTATCCTGAAACGGATCCTTGAACAGAAAAAGGACATTAATGGAAAATCTGGGTAAATCCAAATAAAATCTGGTACATTAATAATAACATACTAATGTTGGTTTCTTAGTTTTGATAAACATACCACGACAATTTAATAAATTGAAATGAAACTGGGATAATTACTAATGATACTCATTGTTACTGAGAAAATTCAAGCTTTCAAGCATAAATTAAAATTTTGAAATACAAGTACCCACCACTATGACTCGTTAGCTTCCTGTAACTTAAAAGATTTTTGTGATAAGAAGTAATGCAACAAATACATGATTATTAAATAATATATAACGAAAAATGTCAACATTTGGAAGGTCTGAAAAGCTCAGTAAACCAGTATTTTCCAAACGACCAGTGTATGATGATATAATATCATGCATGGGTAAGACCCATTAAAAGCAGGGGGAAAATGAATTTTAATTTAACAGTGTAAAGAGTTCTTTGATACAGTTTCAGATTCCATATTTCAACTAACCATTAATAACTTACTAATAGTTGTGCTTTTGGGTATCAAAAATATTAGTAACCTTTCCTTTTCTGACTGCCTATGTGTAAGGCAAAATTTTCCCCCTATTTTTCAACTAACCACACTGTAATGACTACATGCAGCAGAATCTTGCTATCTACATTAAGTCAGACATTAATGAGATTTGTAAAAATGTAAGTCAATGCCATCCTTCTCATTATTTTATTTGGAAAAATAGTTGTTTTTCCTTAAAAACATAGCAATTATATTAGTGTAATGACTATTATTTTTTAATGAGCCAATAAATATTTTTAAGCTTCTCTCTTCCTTAGTAATGGGAAATCTTAATATGATAAATATGAATAGATAAGTTAAACCAAAATTTTTTTGAGGTCGTCATTAATTTTTTAGAGTGTAAAGGGGTCTTCTGATCAAAATTTAAGAGTCAGTGTGCTAGATGCTATTACAGTGTTCTTTATTAGTAGGCAAGAGTAGACAGACTCTAACATGTAAGTAGAAGGACTGATTTTGGGGACCTCCCTGGTGGCGCAGCGGGTTGAGCGCCGCACTGTGAAGCTGTCCGCAGCCCCTGCAGCGTGGATTTGATCCTGGCCGGGCAGTGAGAATTCCACATGACACAGCAGACCTCTCCTGTCTCGCCCGCTGCTCCCCTCAGCAGTGTATTTCGTCAGTCTGCCTGTTCTGTTCCCCACTCTGTCTCTGGTGAATCCTCTCACCCTCCCGCGCATCTGGCTTTTACCCCAGTTCTTGTGTAAAAATAAATAAATCTTTGAAAAAAAAAAAAAAGGACTGACTTTGGATAGCAGCACATATGGTTCATCCATGATAAAAGAAAGTTAATGACTCTGGGTACAGCTGCTGGTAGGTGAACAGAATAGGTGGCACGAAACAGTGAGACATGACAAAACGCACTCTCCACAGCAGCGAAGGTTCAAGAACAATATTTTAAAGATACACCATGCAGAAGGTTCCAAACTACCAGCCAATACTCATTCCCTCTAAATCTTTTAAAATAGTAGAAACAATTAATAGGAAAACCAAAGGTGTTCTATGTGAACCATTTGAGATGTCTGTCCAGAGCTTTGAACAGTTTTGAAAAGAAAACAGGAGGAAGAGTATTCTAAGCATGGAAAATGGAATTTGAGGACTCAGAAATAGAAGCAAGCAAACTGCATATTATTAACCTTGCGATAAGAAAATAAAGAGTGTTGAATGATTTAAGAATGATTAGGGAAGGTTTGGCCAGATGAAAGAGAAAACAAAAATTCAGAAAATACTCTAGCTTACCTGTCTACTCCATCCCAACGATATCCAGGCCAGATATTGAATCTGTTGGGGGGAGGTGCTGGGCCACTGTAGCGAGGTCTCACTAACAAGGGAGAGAAAAGAAGTTACCTGTGTAAGTTAACTCAAATGGCTAATAGTGGGGGGAAATTTATTTATACAGAAATCTCTATTGAGTTGAATAAGGAATACAAGGAATCTAGAATTGTATAGAAAATTCTGTGTTGCACATAACTATGTATCATTACCCTCATGATTCTCCTTCCTGTACATTAAGTCCCCTTCATCTCTGATGATTACCACAAGGCTTACCTTTCTTATTCTTATTCTCCTTGGCCTTACTCTTCTTGATAAAGTTGGCCATGGGATCCCCTTCCCTTTCTTGTTCTCTCAGCATGCGATCCAGATCTTCATCGTCAATGTAGCGGGCCAGAGGCTTCTGCATTTCCTTCAATGCATCCTCCACATTTTGTTGCTGCTGTCGGCTCTGGGCCAGCCTGGGTAAAAGGAGCCAAGAGCACATGCACTCCTGTTACCATGTGTACTCTCCCACTGAGACAGCCCGCACGACTACACTGAGAGACTTTCCTCTTTCCAGCAGCACATGCCATACATTAACAATGGAAACCTCCCAAACAACCAACTGGATGTGTGGATATATCAGCACCTTGAAAAGGAGACTTAGCATAATCACATTCCCATTCCTGAAAATAGCTCTGAAAGCAGAACAGTAATAACCCGACCGGTGACAGGAATAGAAAATTACTTCCTCTGGTCAGCGCAGTCTTGTTTTCCCTTCCAGGTCTTCCCCTTACCCTTTTCCCCACTGGGCATACAGCTCATCCCTCTCCGAGTCCTTCTCTGCTTTTTTCCTTTGCTCTAAACGTTCCATTTTCAAATTCCTCTTACGACCAGACTTATCTCGGAATACGGTTTCGGCATATTGGAATTCAGCTGAAAAGGAAAATTATACTTTCAAAATTACATACTAAGTATCAAAATTAGAAATAATATCCTAGTAGGTGAAATCAAGCACCTGGGATTTTGGTGCTGGATAAGAATTTTTGCAGCCAGAACACAAGTAGTTCCTACCAATATCTAAGTGCATATTGGCGATAAGTTTGAAAACTAGCATTTTTCAAGAAAGAAAAAAAATCCATTAAGTTAAAATAATGCATAAAGCCAGAGCTTAAATCTGATAGCAACTTAAAGTTTAAAATATCAGGTGCAGTAAGTTACATTAAATAATAATCATAAAAATAATAATAGTAATAATAATAAAAATCATGAATCTTGATGGGTCTGTGCATTTTCACACTTTTACCTTCAAATGCTATGGTTTCCTGGTCCCGTTTCTTGAGTTCCTGCTGCTCTTGCTTTATGTCAGTTAACACCAAGCCAGTTTTAGCGCCAGAATACATGTGTGCAGCCTATGCAACGGAGAAGGGAGCAGCCGATGTTAATGAGACAATGCAAGGGTACGTGGCATGGGTGTACACAGTTAGGTGCATTTTGCCTGATAATCATCCATAAGAAAAGGGAAAACTCTAGCTTTATATTCTCATTATCAACACAGGATTCACAAAATAGAAAAGGAGAAAAAATTGAACTTTACAGGAAATTAACAGTACTATTAAGTTTAAAGGGAAACAGAAACACAAACCAACAAGATATAAAGAGAAGGCTAAGCACCTGTATTTCTGACTTTCCAGCATGTAAACTACACAGTCACTCTCCTGCCACCCGATCAGAAACAAACAGTCGAAAGTCCTCCAGTAGAGGCCCACACTGACAAACAGTCCTTTTAAAATACTGTCTTAGCAAAGGTAAGACTGTTAAATTTTGGATATATTCCAGGATAACAAGATACTACCAAATGAAAACTTTTTACTAAATTCAATCTAGTATCAAGAAAACAAACCAACCACAACTGAAATATACAATATATCCTGATATCCTAAAGCAATGTATTAAATTTGATTAATATTAAATTGTCCATGAGTTAAACAGATACATAAAATGGGAAGAGGTCCAATTAAAACACAGACCTCAGAACTCAGACCTCAGTTTGTTACCCCAAAGAGAGGAACCCCAGTTCCTAGGTTAGAGACAGGCTGGTCTACCCTGCCAGAACCATATGGTCTGCAGATGACACTTAACCTGAGAAGTCTGTGTTGGATGGAAATATACAAATCACAGGTTCTATCATTCTGTTTCTTAATCAAATCACTGGAATAAGATTCCTTTACTAGTGCTCCTTTATTAGTACTAGTCTTCAGAACACAATTACTCAGAGCTCGTATGGATTATTTTTGCTGATTCAGGTTTCAATATAGATTTAAAATAAATATCAACTTCCCACATGATTTGATTCTAAATGTAGTTTTATATTTTAAGTGCCTCTCTTTAAGCTCTGCAAACAGATGTGCGGTCCAAATTGTAATAAGACTGCTTACACTAAAAGTTTACTTTGTCCCAGGCATTGCACTGGGAGTTTTACTTATACTAACCATTTAATTCCACAATAACCTAACAGAAGTATGTGCCATTATTATCCACATTTCACAGATGAAGAAGCTGAGGCACAGAGGTATTCCTACCTTGCTCAAATCTCAGGTAGTAAGTGAAAGAAGTAGGATTCAAAAACGTGCTCTGTTTGACACAAAGTTTGTGAGCCTAACACCAATCTATAAATTAGAGTTCCCAGTTATTCACTGGAAGATTGGAAGTTTTTCTGGACCTATTAAAATGAGATTTATGGAATTAAGAAGCTACAAAGGCAGTTGCTACTTAGGAAAGCTGATATTTACAAGTTCAAATGGGCTGGGTTACAAGCAGTCCTATTTTCATAGAGAAGTGAAAAGCTCCAGAGAGTCTTGGAATTAGACTTACTATACAACTTGCTCCTGTGGCTTGTGGCTCTGGACTTACTAATCGCTAGAGAGGAAGTCACTCTAACAGGAGGCGACAGCTCCTGAAAGGTCCTACCTTCTTCCCAGGTGGTTGACTCCTTCGAGGTGGAGACAAATCAGAATCAGAACTGGCCCTCGGTTTCCTCCTTGGTGGAGAGAGGTCAGAGTCAGAGCTCTGGTGTCTAGGCCTATTCCGCGGAGGTGAAAGATCCGAGTCAGAATCCAAGTGCCCTGGATTCAGTTGAGGAGAAAGATCTGAATCAGAGGCTTTTTGACTTATCACCTGGAAGAAAAGTCCCATGTGTGACTCACGTCTCCGAGGTGGAGCTTACACAACATTTCCTCCTCTCCTTCAGGCACTCACCTGGGAGGGGGTCTGCTCAGTCTGTTCCCACAGACTCTCCTCTAGGTTGGCCCTTGAGGAAATGGAAGGCGCTAGGACTCACCGATTTAAGAAAAAATACTTCGATTCATTATTGTAACTCTGTCTTTCCCCTTGAGCCCCAAATTAGCTTAATGGGTGTATGAAACTTACCATAAAAGCTAAAAAGTAAATTCTTTGGAAAATTAAGTTATTTGAGGTATGGCTCGAAGCCTCTTCTAGGAATTTTTAAAAACTGATGCATGTTATCTGGTCTACCTTCCTTAGAACCAAAGGGTTATACTTAGAAATATGCATTTTAAGAATGTTTTGTTATCTAAAGGAGTTAGTAAAGAACTATTAGAAACTGAATAAAACTTTTCAGTGTCTTCACAAACACTGGTAAAGTAACTATTTCTTAAAACTAGTACACATGGCCAAAATTTTAAATGAAAACTAAAATATCTCTGTGTGTCCTTAATCCAGAGGGTTATTATATTAGAGTTAATTATAAATGGTTCCTATATCTAGATCACAAAGTAGAATTTTTGGTAAATAAGAACTAGGTCAAATTTAATGGTTTAATTTAAACTATGTATGCCTTTAAATTTATAATATTGGTTGTTAATACTTTTATTCTATGTTTCAATGTGATTAAATAAAAAAAATTAGCTCTTGATATATAGCAAAGAAAAGTAATTGACCTGGTCTATGTCAACAAAGAGATTTGCTTAAAAACAAAGTTTGAAACAAATGAAATAGAAATCTCTGACAATCACTAGTCTCTCAAAGATTTATGGCTAATGTCAAACTTAATCAGATAAATAATGAGTTAATGTAAAAAGGAATCATTTCAGGCAAAATAGTATTAGGAGTTTGTGTGAGAGGGTGAAACTGTCGCCCCAAAACATTTCTCTGGCAAAAAGTTTATTTCATGGGAGGGACTCTGAAGCCTGGGTGTAATTTGCTTTTTGATGTCACTACCTACACTTCTCTCCATGAAGGTCTTTTCCAAGACTAATCCACTTATTTCTTCTCCTGGAGAAGTACTTTTGTTATTCCCAGTAAACACCCTAATTTCTCCTTTCTTCCCCTGTCCTAGTTAAGGAATTCAAGATAGCATCTAAAGCCACATGGACAAGTTACTCAGTTGTACGGGGTCTCTCATATATATACATTATTTAAGGTTCTATATGATTTTTCTTTTACTTATCAATCTGATGTATGCTTGTTTGATTATTCATGTGCCAAGAAAACTGGTAAGAATGGGATCATTTCCTTTATAGCCCCCTACAATTAAATTGGGAATTCCTGCTAGGAAAAACTAAAGCTGTAACTGGCGTAGTTAACTTTGAGGAATCTTAATCCTGTCACCATTGCTGAGCCTTACCCCAAAAACAGATCTACTCTTAAAAACCTTTGTCACTCTGGGTAATTAAGTACTATTTTGTAAATATCTGTGTAAGTTTGTAACAACACTTCTCTAACATCAAAATTCTAAAATACGGGCCTCCCCTGGTGGCGCAGCGGTTAAGCACTGGACTGCGAAGCTGCCTGCAACCTCTGCAGTGCTGGTTTGATCCCCAGCTGCCGGCAAGGGTCCCACATGGTGCGACAGACCCCTCCTGCCACGCCCGCTGCTCCCCTCAGCAGTGTATTTCATCAGTCTGCCTGTTCTGTTCCCTGCTCTGGTGAATTCTATCACCTTCCCACACTTCTGACTGTACCCAGTGTTTATATAAATAAATAAATGAATCTTTAAAAAAAAATAGTAAGCACTGTCATGGGAAGAAAAGGTTACACCTTTTCAGCATATATGTAAATTGATAGGAGTGTTTTTAAAATATATCAAGACTTCTTAAAGTCTAATATATTCTGGTACAATATTGGCCAATTCTGATTATTTTAAAGATGTATGTCATGAGATTGGACAAATTACCACTGTCTACAAATTTGTTTTCAGATTTTAAGTATGGTTATTTTTAAATAAACTGTCTTCAGAAAAAGGAGCTTACAATATTCTAAAAATACAAGTTTTTCATATAACTGAGAAAATCTGCAGAGCTTATGGAAAACTGTACTCTTCAAGTTTGCTAACAAAAGATCAGACTTACTACATGGGACTGACTACTATGAGAACTAAAATAACTATAAATTTGTAAACGATTTTTAAAATATTGGGTTTAACGTTTTATCTACAGCAATGACAAATTGTATCTTTTTATGAGCAAACTGGAAAATTTGCTTTTCTATCACCCAAAATGTAAACTTTTAGTAAGTATTGTTACTTTTCATGGCAATGTGTTTGTCTGCATAAATCCAGTAAGACTCCTTTTTCCTCTATAGTAAAAAGTCTAAGACTTTCACTGGAAACCAGAGGGCTTTCAGGAATCTATGGATTTCAGAATCTTTAAGAAAGAGACAGGCTGATACCTTGTTTTCAGGATTCTAGATCTATCAGGAAGGGTAAAGAATTTCCCCCCTTTGGGAGACCTGGCAGCCCTAAGACATTTGGGGCTTCAAAGTGAGGAATTTAGCCAAAGACACAGGTTTTTACAGGAATAGTCTGGTAATCGGCCTGTGGCATGGTTTCCTGCCCTAAGAGGCAAAACATTAAGAGTTCAATCTGAGATTCCTTGTGGAGGTTCCAGTAAAGCCAATCTTAAAAGTATACAGTTATATTTTGCTCTTGTTGCACTTATGTAAAAGGACTGCCCAATTTGACAAAAATTAAACTTAACTTGCAAATGGATTTAACTGTAATCACTTGGTAGAGCTGGAGTGGGAGTGAAGACAAATGATGTTTAGAAATTTTTTTTTTATATCAGTTTCTGGTTCTCTTCAATCTGAAAATTGGACTGGCTCCTAACATCTTTAAGGTCTAGCCATTTTGCATGAGTTTGCTTCTAATGGGCTACAGCATCTAACAGACACTCCTTTGTGTAACTACTCACCTGCAGATTGGGTACTTCTGAAAACTTAGAAGGGTCATCATCCTAAGACCTGGGAAGGATCCTATCCTATCCTTCCCATCACCCACTCTGCCCTAAAATTGGAAGGAATAAAACCTTGGATTCATCATACCCACATAAAACCCTATCATTTAAGAGGGTAGAATGTAGTTCCTAGACTTAACTTTAAAACTCCACAAACTTCCCCTAAGCAGAGATCATGACACTCCCAACAGTGATCTTGCACATCAGACTCTTACTATTCTCAACAAAGTTGGGGACTGATACCTTTCTCTGGTGGGCTCAACACTATGCAAACCAAATCTCCTGCTGAGTTTGTGGCCTCATGTCCTCTCTAGCATTTCAGGGTTCCCTTGCTGGGTGCAGCCCTTGCAAGGGAAAGACAGGACTTGAAACAACTCTTCTTTGCTGGGAACAAATATCCAATCTGCATTCCTCTTGAGGAAACAGCACCCAGAAATGGGCTGCCTCCCCAGTGAGATACTGCCTCTCCAGGGTAACATGCCTTTATCTAAAGGAGGAATGTTGTTATTACGTTAACCAGAGTGGACAGGTCATGGCTGACATAAAACTTCAAGAAAAGCCATGAGACTTAGAGAAAAATCCCCACCCTGGTGGGGTTGATGCACATTGGGGCCCTCCCATGGATACTGCCTTTCCGGGAGCCCTTAGCCAAAGTGTTTCTCATCCTCATTTCTGAACCCTGCATACTCAATTTCGTTGTTATATTTATTTCTTCTTGCTTGGAGGGAGTTAAATTCCAAGAGAAACAACAGCCAGTCAAAACACCCCACCTATTGGACTCCACCTACACCTCCTTCCAGAACCAGCATAAAGGACAAAAGGCCAGTCAGTTCAGGGAATAGCATTAGAGAGACCATATGCCAGGCCCCTTACATAAGGACAACTCTATGCCCTACTCTAGCCAGAAGCAGCTACAGAAGACAGACCTCCCACCATTCAGCTCCTCAAATGATTTGGGGCAAGATATGGTGGGAAGGAGGGGTTAATAGAAGTTCAGAATAGAAAAATTTAGGATGGAAGTTTTCACAAGGTCAAAAACCAAAAGGATGATTAAGGAGTAATAAATCAAGCAAAGGAAGTTTCCAGGTATAGGAGGTAGGAGCAGAGAGGATTACCATTTACAGAAAACCAACCCAACCAGACCACAAAATGATAAATCTCATAGAGTAATTTCATCAAAAAGCATTATTTAAGGATGCCCCTTGCTCTGGCAAAATGCATATCTTGTCCATTAAGAATGCCTGCCTATGTCTCTTTTTTCTTTCTTTTTCTTAATATGCCTACCATGTGCTGCTGAAATTAATTAAACCAATTGGCAGGTTATGGGGTTCTATTTTTCAAGTTACTAGTGACTGCTACTAGTATGAGATCTATACATAACTCATGTAAGTCATAATTATCCCACCCACAGAATGAGCAAAACAACTGGCACTCAGGTCTGGCAAAATTTAAAACTACCCAGAATATGTTCTGATGTCCTTAGACTAAAGGAAACAATGTATTTTAATTTAAAAACCCAAATACCACCTAGGCACAAAAAATAGGAGTCAACAAATTTCACCAGAAGGGCCTGAATTGTAGACCGAAGCATCACAAATCACCTCCCCAAAAAGCAGTCTGCAATTTATATCAAGTATTAAAAAGACAAACTTCTCACTTGGTAAATCAATTTGTACTTAGTTTCCTGGGTAATATCTCTAGAAGTACTTACGTTTCCAGGAAATCCGTCTAATAAGGAAATAATCCAGAGTGGGCACAACAGTTTATACACAAGAATGGGGGTCTCCCTGGTGGCGCAAGTAGTAAAGCACAACACTCAGAATGTTCATTAGATAATTACAAAGGCAGAAATTTAGAAATAATTTAAAATATGCAATATTAGGGAAATAAGTAAATTTGCATACTAATACACCAATAAAAATTATATTGACAAAGAGATGTGTTTATGACATAGGGAAGATAATGTTAAGTGAAAAAAACAGGCGAGATTATTCGTGAAATGGATAGACCTCACAGCACTCAAATACATCATAAATGAATTTTTAAAAAAGACTGAAGAAACACTGCTACAACATAAACAGTGATTATCTCTGAATGACAGAACTTTGTATGACCTTTTTTCTACTTCATGTTTTGAAGTTTCTGTAAGAAACGTGTAGTACTTTTATATGGAGTAGGGAGAATAACCAGAAAGATATGTAAGACTTTCCTCCCTGTCATTGTAAATTTTTAACTCTTATCAGCCCAACCTCTCACCATTTCCCAAGGGTTTGTAAAACTTCTCCAAAGACACTCCAATTTCATTTCTAAGGATCATAAAACCTAATAAAGCAAGGATACCTAAATAAAATGCTTAATAAGCCTCCCCCGTGGACAATCAAATGCTCACCTTTAGAATCATGCTGCTTATTTCCAAAATGGGATTTTGCTTGCTTTTTTCGTGCAGGAGAGAGGTCCGAGTCATATTCACATTTGTTGTTCTTTGGGAGTGATAGGGAAGATACTGATCCTTTCCGATGTGGAGTTTTGCTAGAGGTAACTTCAGGCGCTCTAGTGCTTTTTGTTCTGGGCAGTGACTGAGGGACATTAGGATCCAAATCAGGGGAGTCACAACGGACCCTCCTGAGCTGCGATGTGTCCAAGGAGTCAAGAGTTCTTTTACGATCAGCTATGTCAGGGGAGCCGTTATGGGTCCTTTGTTGGGGAGAGATATCTGAGGAACTGTGACGGGCCCTCCTAGGAGATGAATCTGGTGTGTCATGACAAGCTTTCCTAGGAGAAACACCTGAAGAATGACGATGAGACTTCCTGAGGGGAGAATGATCTGGGGTGTCATGACGGACCCTTCTAGGAGGAGAAGGATCGGGGGTGTCATGACGGACCCTCCTAGGAGAAGGATCTGGGGTGTCGTAACGGACCTTCCTAGGGGGAGAAGGATCTGGGGTATCGTGACGGACCTTCCTTGGAGGAGATGGATCTGGGGTATCGTGACGGGCCTTCCTTGGAGGAGACGGATCTGGGGTGTCATGACGGACCTTCCTTGGAGGAGATGGATCTGGGGTGTCGTGACGGACCTTCCTTGGAGGCGATGAATCTGGGGTATCATGATGGAAATTTGTGTGTGAAGATATGTCTTCCTTGTGATCTAAACGCAATGAACAACGAATCAGATTCTCCACAGATGCTCTGTTTATCCCAGCACCAGATTTCAAAAGATGCCCCAGCAGCAGACATCTCAAAACTATTCAAAAACCTCATTCATATTTGAGGGAATAAAAACAGTGGGTAAAAACCCAGCACACTTCTAGTGGCCCAAATGACAGTGGGACGAGGGCTGTAACTCACTGGAACTAAGTATTTCTTAGTCTGTGTCCCTTTGTAAACCTACCTACCAGGTTTTTGGGAAAGAGGAAATGACTGAAGCTAAGCTTCAAATGATAACTAGAGTAGCAGGCTGTAAGAATCAAATGCTGGGCCTCCCTGGTGGCACAAGGGGTTAAGCACAGCACTGTGAAGCTATCTGCAGCCTCTGCAGCATGAGTTCAATCCCTGCCCAGCCAGGGAGCTACCCACATGGCACAGCAGACCTCTTCTGACTCACCCGCTGCTCCCCTCAGCAGTGTATTTCTGTCAGTCTGCCTGTTCTGCTCCCCACTGTCTCCGGTGAATCCTCTCACCCCCCACAACTCCGGCCTGTACCCCAGCTCTTGTATGCATAAGTAAATAAATCTTTAAAAAAAAAAAAAAAAGAATCAAATGCCTATTAACAACTCAACAATTCAAGAAATATTTATTAATGCCAAAATATAAGAAAAAGTGGGATACTGGGTCTCTCAATTCCCAGGTCTTACTACCTCTGAAGAAGTTTTGAATTCTTACTCACATTTTAATTTTCAGCGTCAATGACATGCTAAAACAAACAAAGCATTCCTCTAAAAGAAGAATATAGAAAAGCAAAAAAGTATTTCCTTAGAAATGGGAAATTTAGATTCATCTATTGTTGGCACTCACCTCCCAAAAGCTTCCATTTGGCACTGGAACGAAAAGCTTCCATCTGCTTCACCTCTTCTGGTCGCTCATCCACAAACTCAGCCACCTATATGAGTGAGGACACTATGTTAAGGAAAGCCACAGAATTCAGCCAAGGAGCACTGTTATCTCAAGAACCTGAAGCTATGATATTTCCCAATCCCAGTAACATGGTACCTAAATCTAAAATAGTCATAAATAAAAATGCATTGGCCCTCAGTTATGTTTGCTCCATAAATAAGCTTGTTAGTAGGTGGTTTACTTACAGATGATTCTCTGACTAATCAATTTGCCTCTGAAGGTTAATTTCTTTCATTACAATTTCTTTAATTAAACTGCCAGGGACACAACTGTCATAAGATAAAAGCTAAATTCCAGCTACCTTTTTACTTTTATATTCAGAATAAAAACACAGGCATGTGTTTTTCTTGAGGCTCCTGTCATGGAGCCTCAAGTTCCTTATAAAATCTTACGTATTGCAGGCAGTCACAATGACAGGTTGTCTTGAATCCAGTTAAAAGAAGCCACTAAGATATACATAGAATTATAGATTCTTTTTTTTTTTTTTTATAGAGGCATGTTTTCTTTCTTTCTTTATTTGTTTGTTTTTTGTTTATACATGCACTGGGTACAGTCAGAAGCGGGGGGGGGGGGTGAGAGAATTCACCAGAGTGGGGAGCAGAACAGGCAGAAGGACCGAAGTACGCTGCTGAGGGGAGCAGCGGGCGGCAGGAGAGGTCTGCGCGCCATGCGGGACCCTCCTCCGGTGGCCGGGAAGCAGCCGGGGATCGAACCGGCGCCGCAGAGGCCGCGGGCAGCTTCGCAACCCAGCGCTCAACCGCTGCGCCACCGGGGAGGCCTGAATTATAGATTCTTTAAGGGATAAAACCACATTTCATAACATCCAAACTCCCAAATAAATCTGGAATCTTCTCTATAATAACCTTGATAGGGTCACTCATTTAGTCCCTCCTTATAAGGAACCAATTCACAGACAGGGGCCTTAATATGTTCAAGGCAGCCCATAACATTTTGGGACAGTGTTAGAAAGTTCTTAATTTTACTGGGCCTGTAGCTACCTTCCTATAATTTCTTTCCATTGGCACCGGTTCTTAACTCTATATAACTAATGCCCTTTTCACATGAAGTACTTTCAAAGATGACTGGCATACTCAATTCTACTTACAGAGTAGCAACTATAGGCAAAGCACTGTGTTTTATGCTTTACTTATCTCATTAATTCTCACAACAGCCCTGCAGAGAAAGGCTCCATACTATAGAAGAGCAAACTATGACTCAGAAAAGTTGAGTAACTTTCTCAATCAAACAAGTGAAGAACTGGAATTCGAACCCAGGTCATAACTCCTCTCCCCTTCTCCTCTCCAAAGATCTTACTGTAAGTCTTCATATAACTGAGGATGATCTTACTGGACATTAAAATCACAAGGTTTTCAAGCAAGATGAATTGAGACGTAAAATCCTCAGCTCTGCCACTTAATATTTGTATAACCTATAACAAATTATTCTCTCTAAGCTTCAATTTCCCCATCTGCAAAAGCAGGATTAAAAGGTTTGAAATGAGTCCTCAATGAGGACTCAATGAGATAATTTACATAAGTACAGCAATGCCGGTACACGGTAAATGCTTAATAAATTACATCTATTATTCCTGTGCTGCCATTTCTATTGTGGTTGTCCTAATATTTTGCCATTATTATTGGTGGTGGTAACAGTCTTGCAGTAATAAAAAATGAATTCAATAATAGAGAACTGTTTCAACCAGTGTGGCAGTATTGGGGTTAAAGCCACCCTTATTTAGGTTTTGGGGCAATCATAAAAGCAAAACACAATCCTATAAAGGAAAATAAACCAGACTATATGAAAATGAATTTTTTAAACTGGATACAACCCATGTGTCCAGTAACAGGACAGGTTAAATTAATATGTAGGGCCTCCCCGGTGGCGCAGCGGTTGAGCACTGGGTTGCCAAGCTGCCCGCAGCCTCTGCAGCGCCGGTTCGATCCCCGGCTGCTCCCCTGCCACCGGAGGAGGGTCCCACATGGTGCGCAGACCTCTCCTGCCGCCCGCTGCTCCCCTCAGCAGTGTACTTCGGTCCTTCTGCCTGTTCTGCTCCCTGCTCTGGCTCTGGTGAATTCTCTCACCCTCCCGCGCTTCTGACTGTACCCAGTGCATGTGTAAACAGAACAAACAAGCAAACAAATAAATAAATAAAACATGCCTCTATAAATAAAAAAAAATAAAAAACAAACAACAAAAAAAAAAAAAAATAAATTAATATGTATATTGAACTACCATGCAACCATTAAAAATTACATTCTCTAAGAATATTTTAAAGTCTTATTCACAACATATTATTAAGTGAAAGAGCAGGCTCTAACACCATACGTACAGTATGATCCCAATTATATTCAAAAAAATAAAATATAACTATGAATTAAAGAGATACATATGCAAATGTTAGCAGCTGTTATCTCTGGATGGTCATAGTACATAGGACCATTACAGTCTTTCGAAAACTTTGAACTTTCTTATTAATTCCCAAATATTCTACAACAAATATCTATTGCTTCTATAAAATTTAAAAATGTAAATATTAATTAGGCTTCAGTGACTCATTCTGACTGAAACAAAGTTGGCTCCTTATGATCACTATTCTGCCTTCTATAACTAACAAACCATCTTTTAAATAATCTACAAATTCTACTGTAGAATTTGCTAGGGATTAACCTAAAAGATACCCATCTGGAATTCATTTCTATCACCGTTTAGTACAATTTAGTCTATCAACAGCTCTTTTTTTTTTTTTTCAAAGATTTTATTTATTATACAAGAGCTGGGGTACAGGCCAGAGGTGCGGAAGGGTGAGAGGATTCACCAGAGAAAGAGCGGGCAGCAGAACAGGCAGATGGACCGAAAGCACTGCTGAGGGGAGCAGCAGGTGAGACTGGAGAGGTCTGCCGTGCCATGTGGGTATCTCCCTGGCCGGCTAGGAATCAAACCCGCACTGCAGAGGCTGCGGACAGCTTCACAGTGCTGTGCTCAACCCGCTGTGCCACCAGGGAGGCCCACCAACAGCTCTCCTTTTCACTTTTTCTCAGCAGCTCTCAGCAGCTCTCAGCAGTGGCTGCATGACCAGGTTACCTGCCTGTGCTTTTGTACACCTGGCTCTTACTCATCCTCCAAAACTCAATCCAGATATTTATAATCTTTACGAAATTTTCCAATAGAATAAGAAGTATGCGACCTCTCCAGGGCTACAATATCACACACATGAAATATATCTCCAACATTAATCATGTTGTTGAAATTCAGTCTCCCATTCTAAGGGTCTCCCTGGTGGTGCAGGGGTTAAGATGCCACTTATGAAGCTCTCTGAAGCCACTGCAGCACGAGTTCAATCCCTAGCCAGGGAGCTACCCACATGGTGCAGCAGACCTCTCCTGGTTCACCCACTGCTCCCCTCAGCAGTATATTTCAGTCAATCTGCCTGTTCTGTTCCCCACTGTCTCTGGTGAATCCTCTCACCCCCAAACACACACCTCTGGCCTGTACCCCAGTTCCCGTATGCATAAATAAATAAATCTTTAAAATAAAAAGCATAGACATTATGATCTATTAATCTATTTATCTCCAGTAACTACACAAGAGTATAAAATTTTAAGTTTAGTAAAGTCAATGAATAAAAGAAAAGTTTCACATAACTGAACCTAAACATTGTTTTTAAGGTAGATTCCAACAAACTGAACCATGGCTAATTTTAATCGTGACTCTATCAATGATGCTGAGGAGTCCTACCTCTCTTGGATTAGTTCCCATTTTTAGGCTGATGGGGACATCCACAAATGAAGACAGTAGACATGTGTCATCAAACAAGGCTATTTTAAAACAGCTCTTGGGAAAGAATCACCTCTTCCCTCACTTTCCCTACTACAAACCTACCCCACAGTAGGAGTAAAGATTAAGAGGCTTGCATTTCATTGTCTGCATGGACAAAAGATACGTACCACAGGCAAATCTCCATCATCTTCCTCTTCCTCCTTTTCTGTTTTAGTGGTAGAGATCGAAGTCCAGCTCACATCATCATCTACAATCCGCATTCTAAATGTGGGAAATAAAAAGACCAAGACTTGTTCTTGGATAACAGTCTACGAACATATACACTGGTTTTAAGCTCAAAATCCTACAAGATGACCTGGTCTTTTCCTATCTAGTCATTTTTTTCTTGTACCACTGCCCCTTCTGTTCACCAACACACCTTTTGTTGGCTGGAATGAACCAAATTCCTTACCACATCAGTTCTTCACATATGCAGTTTTCCCATATGCATACCTTCCCTCTGCCTGACCAAGTCTTCTTATTCTTTACTGGGAAACTCTTATTCTTTGTACCCTGTGTGTGTGTGTGTGTGTGTGTGTGTGTGTGTGTGTGTGTGTAATTTCCTTGAGTCTACCTTCCTCAACTACCTCTTTCCTCTCCCTAAGAACCTGTAACACACTCTTGGAATACTTTCATTGCTTTTATCACTAAAGAAATTGATCAATTAGTTGTTTAAAGACTATATTCCTATTAATCTATAAAACAGCATAAGAATAGGGACTATGCCTTTCTCATTATAGTGGCATCTTCAATACCCTGCAATAACAAGCAGAGGGAGTAGTCAATAAAGGTTTGTCACAAAGATAAACTATGGATGAGTCCAAACAATAACCATTAGCATGGTGGGAACAGTTACTATTTTAAAAGCTCAGGTCACTTCACATATCTCTAATCACAACAACCGTTTAATATAAGTGATATGACTCTCATTTTAAAGATGCACAAACTGAGATTCAGAGAGATGAATTATCTTGCCCAGGGTCACACCGTGCATAAAGTAGCAAAGCTTGGACTCAAGCTCGCATCGGTGTTGCCTGAAAACTCAAGCTATTCTCATTACATGGCACTGCCACACAAGTCAGAGGGGCAGGAAGACAGCAAGCAAGAAGGCAAGAACCAACCTAAGAAAAGAAATGGGTTAGCTCTTTGGAACTATTTGATCTTGCTGGTATATTAGCTTCCTAGCACTAACTAAGCACCACAAATTGGATGGTTTAAAATAACAGAAATGTGTTCTCTCAAAGGATGAAGTCAATGCCCGCAAGGCATGCTCACTGGAAGCCTCTAGGATCTTTCCTTAACTCTTCCAACTTCTGGTAGCCTCAAGTGTACCTTGACTAATGGTAGCATAAATCCAGCAATCTTAGCCTCTATCTTCACAGAATTGTTTTACCTCTGTACCTGTGTCCAAACTGCCCTCTTCTTAAAAGGATACCAGTCCATCCTAACTCAGTATGACTTCATCTTAACAATTTATGTCTGCAGAGACCCTGTTTCCAAATGTCACATCCAAAGGTTCTGGGTGAACCTGACTGGGATGGACGTGGGGAGAAAACTATTCAATGCAATACACCAGTTCACAAAAGTTGTCTCCCCTGCAAAAACGGGGATAACAGCAATGCCTTCTTCATGGCAGTGCTGTGCAGCGTAAATAAATTCCTGTCTGAAGTACTTCGTGCAGTGCCTGACACATGACAACTTGTTAAACGTGTCAGCTGCTAGGAGTACTGGGAGCAACAGGAAGTGAGCACGGGGCTCTGCCCACTGAGAACCAGAGTCCTTGGGATTGAAGAACGGCCACAAAGAGATTCTGGGCCTCAAATACCCAAGCACAGAGGCTCTGAATTAGCTCCACGATTATTCTAGGGACGAAACATTCATTCTCCATGGGAAAGAACTGAAGGCTACGAAGGCGGGAAAGAGTAACGAAAGTTACCGGCGCGCTTGAACACGTTCAAGGCAATGCCCAGGGACGCTCGCGGCGGCCGAGCCCACCGGGCGCTCGGGCAGGGTCCCCGCGAGCAGAGAAGTGGGGGGCGAGGGGAGAGCCCGGGCCGGGGCCCCGGGCGGGGCGGGCCAGCGGCGGGGCCGCGGGGCGAAGCAGGCCCGCCCCCGTCACGACCAACTTACCCCTTTCCACCGGCCCCGCCTGGCTTCGGCCGCTTTTTGCGACGCTTGCGACTGGCCTCAGGGCCCCCGTCGACGCCGGCATCCGCCCGGGACAAGTAACGCTTCAGATACTCGGCCTTGGAGAGCGGCGGAGCTGCCGCCATGGCAGCGGCGCGGGCGGGGAGACGGCGCGGCGCTGGGGACAAAATTCCTCGGCGCAAAAGGGCGGAGTCGACCCGAGTGGGCGGGGCCGAGACCGGAAGTGGCGCGGCCGGCTGGGCCCGCCCAGCCCACAGGTGACCTGCGCCGGCGAGGCGCGTGCGTGGCCGGGGTCCGCGGGCGGCTGGGCCAGGTCCGGTGTACCTGCCCGCCGTCGGGGCGTTCTGAGGACTCTGCCGGCGCCGTTATGGCCGTGATGCCGGAATTGTCAGGCCTGGTCTCCCAGCCAGGGACGGATCCCAGGCTGCAGGGCAGCGCTGAGCCCCAGCCACTAGACCCCCACGGGTTGGTGTCTCACGAAGCCGCAGCAGGAACTTCGCAGACGCTCAGGCGAGCAAGCGAGAAGAGGCAGGTTTGTTTAGAGAAAGAAAAGTTTATTGAGGAGAAAAGGAACAGAAATAAAGTGGGACTCCCAGGACGGGAAACCAGGCCAGGGAGGGGCAAGGAAGCCAAAGTGGAGTCGTGTCTCAGGGAATATAGACCTTCTTTCCCTCATTATTCTAAAGCTCCACCAGTCTCTGTGATTGGTTAGTTCTCGGCTGTCTCACTTAATCTGCTACTGAGTGGGGGGTCTTCACATTCCTTGTCTAACAGGTTTGTCTTTCTCCATTTGTTGCATTTTTATCTTTATGGCCCAGTCCTCGGATGAGTATCTCTGCATTGACGTTAAACAGCTGCCCTTTTAAGTTGTCCATAAATTAAACCACTCTTCTATTTCTCTAATCTCTGCCTCCCTTTACCACCTGAAGGAAACCAAGGCCAGTGTTAACAATGTTGTCCTTGGTCCTGGGATGTTTGTTTTTCCAGGTGGAATTAGTTACACTCCTCTTGCTGCCCTTATCTCTGAAGCCTTCAATTCTCCGAGGTCCTCTCCTGCAGTGTCCCTAAAACTGCCTAATTCCTCGCTTGCCCTGTGTCTCAGCTGTGAGGCCTACACCATGATCCGGACAAGAGCCCTGTCCCCAGCAGCGTCAGAAGCGCCCGGTGTGGTGGTTAGAACGCGGGCTCTGAAGTTCGCGTTCTGGTTCCATGATCTCCTGGCTGTACAATCCTGGGCAAGTTATTTAACAGAATCTGCATAATAATAGCACCTAGGGCTTCCCTGGTGGCGCAGCGGTTGAGCGCTGGGTTGCGAAGCTGCCCGAAGCCTACGCGGCACCGGTTCAATCCCCGGCTGCTCCCTGGCCACTGGAGTAGGGTCCCGCATGGCATGCTGACCTCTCCTGCTGCCTGCTGCTCCCCTCAGCAGTGCACTTCGGTCCTTCTGCCTGCTCTGCTCCCCGCTCTGGCTCTGGTGAATTCTCTCATCCTCCCGCGCTTTTGATTGTACCCAGTGCTTGTATAAATAAATAAATATTTAAAAAATAATAATAATAATGGCACCTAACTCGATGGTTGTGAGAACTGAGATGTCACTGTGAAAAGTGCTTAGAACAGCATCTGGCTCGTAGCGTATTTTTATTATTATGTTTAGGTGGAGGGGGCACTTCTGTGCTGGTAGGTTTCCAAGTGCCCATCAGAGAGACAGCGAAATTCTAAACCCAGCATAATTACTATGAAAATGTGGCGGTCTCTAACCTGCCTAACTTTGTCATGTTTGATAGTCTATTATGGGTAGCCCCTAAAGTCCTGAATCTATTTTCAGCACAGCAAAAGGGAACCAGAGACACTGAATTCTAGTACTCAAGTTCTGGGGAAGAAAACTTTTCTTCTTGTGGGCATTAAGATTTTTGTATGAATAATCCCATTTAACCTTCACAATTATCCTTTTACAGAGGCGAAATGACTGAAGCTTGGAGATTAAAGAAGTTACTCAGCTTCACAGCCAAAAGGCAACTCTCAGGAACAGAGGCAAACAAAATGGGTGCAAGAGATAATCCAGATTTTTATTATTTATTTATTTTTATATAGAGGCATGTTTCTTTCTTTTTTTTTTTTTTTTAAATATATGTATTTTTAAGATTATTTATTTATGCAAGCCCTGGTTACAGTCAGAGAAGCGTGAGGGTGAGAGAATTCACCAGACGGGAGCAGAACAGACAGACTGACGAAATACACTGCAGAGGAGCAGCGGGCGCAGGAGAGGTCTGCGCGCCATGCGGGACCCCCTCAGGTGGCTGGGAGCAGCTGGGATCGAACCGCGCTGCAAAGGCTGCGGGCAGCTTCGCAACCCAGTGCTCAACCGCTGCGCCACGGGGATGCCCTTTCTTTCTTTCTTTCTTTCTTCTTTGTTTACAGTCAGAAGCGCGGAGGGTGAGAGAATTCACCAGCCAGAGCGGAGCAGAGAGCAGCAGAAGGACGAAGTACACTGCTGAGGGGAGCAGCGGCGGCAGGAGAGGTCTGCGCTCCGGTGGCGGGGAGCAGCCGGGGATCGAACCGTTGCCGCAGAGGCCGCGGGCAGCTTCGCAACCCAGCGCTCAACCGCTGCCCACCGGGGGCCCGATAATCCAGATATTTTTAAGTAGAACATAGATCTTTAAATCACATCATCACATGTAAATTGAAGTTTTGTCACTATTGTAAAGTATGTTAGCCATGAAGGTAGGTGTAGTTTGTAATGTGCATATCTTGGGATACAAGCTAAGAAAATACTTATACGCACCAGAATGGTTTGGAGATCCCTGCCCTCAAGTATGAACAAAAGGGCCTCACTAGCTGTGGGGCCTTCATGAGGGCACCACAGGTACTCCTATACAATCCTACTTGGCTTTCTGGTCCATTCTGGTGTATCTCAAGCCCAGTCTCTACCCTGCTGCCAGCAGACATTTCTGCTCCAGTAAATATTACCAGCATAGCCATCTCAGCCCCAAGGACTCATCTCCTGTCCATTTGTCTTCAGTTCTACCTGTTCTACTCCATAGCCAACGGTAGCTTGACCAGACCCAAGCTCTTGTCCCAAGCCTGTCTGTCTACCTAACCAGGCAGCTAAGCAGGATCAAATGAATTCATGTCTAGTGGCATGGTCTGAGTTTGGCCTCTCTCTGTAATTCCATCTAATAAGCAAATGCAGTCATTGTACTAAAAATTTTCAGAGCTCAGGTTTCAACCTGGTCTGTCTGAAGCTTGCCTCTTAGAAGCTTACCTTCCTTCTAGAAGTTCCCTAGCCTCTTTGAGGCTGTTTCCTCACCATTAAGATAAGGATATTTTTATTTATAGCTACTTTTTCCTAAAAGGGGTTTAAAATAGAGATACTTTAAAATTTCTGTGAAGATTATAAGAGAAAATACAAATAAAAGCACTTCACAATTAACAACTCACTAATCCTGACAAAAACTCTTTGAAGTAGATACCATTATCATCCCCTTTGCAGATGAGGAGACTGAAGCATGTGAGATGCCAATACTAAAGAGCTTTCTAAACTCTGAGGTGAGCACACAGAGTAAGCACCCTTTCAGTTAAAAATACTGCCATTGTCCTATCAAGAGTAGAAGCCCATAAACTTTTAAAATAATAAAGCCAACAAGCCTTAAACACCTCTGCCCTCATTTTAGCAGACTCCATTTCCTGCCATGTGCAATAGGTACTGACATAGCTCAGGTATAAAAAGGACATAATGACAATGTTATTTTTTGAACCATGATTCATGCTTTGTGAGCAGTTGAATGCCCTTCATACATCCCATCATGTACCTCAACAGACGTACATTTTTAACTACCTCTGTGTTCAAGCTGTATTGAATATGCTTAAAATGAGTAAGTGCTCTCACAAAAGAACTCTCCTTTCCCCTTTTCATATAACACAAAAATTTCCTCATAAACTTTATCCTCAGCTGTGTGAAACTGAATTTACATGTTCTTGAGCTGGCAATTTGCCTGCCTTACCTCTTTTGAACTTCTTGACACTTCCACACCTGTTGCCTTCATGCTACCTCCATTTCCCTAAGACTCAAACCTGGATGAGCTGTGAGCATCTGAGGATCTTCATTAATTATTCATATGCTACAGGCTGTGGAGACTCAGTTTATGTAAGCGCCACCCCTGCCAGGCTATATGAAATGACGTTTAAGTTGCCTATAGTGCTGGTTTTTCCCAGTGTGGCACTACCTTGTCCTCAGTCTGCTGGCTCAGAAAGTAGGATTATCATTTCTAATAACTAGGTTAGAGTCTAGAATTATTGTCTCATGACAACCAAACCCACAAGACTCAGTAAGCCAGAGCCTTCCCACAGGGAAGGTGCTCCAAGAGACCGGATGTAGATAGGTGGCTAGTAAACAGTTTCTAATCAGATGGCATGTATCTGTTGCTATGAGAAGTCTATGCAAATGCTGTTTACAGTTGTATCTCCCTAGTCTCCAAACTAACACCATACTCCTGCCCTCACAGAAATTTGACACAGGTATGGAAGTCAGTCCTACATGAAAATAGTAAGATGTCAAATGAGTGTCTCAAAGCAAAACTTGTAAAAACAAATACATTTAAGGAGGAGTTAGGAGGCAGGTTCCTACAAGAAATGATTAAAGTAAAGGGAAAAGCAGGGTCCATTGTCACAGCAGCAAAGACAAGGGCTGAGGGGACAGTCCACTGTCAAATTTGACAGAAGAGAGAACATTCCCCAAGTGGAAAATTCCACTTGTGACCTTTGGGAATAGTTTAACAGAGCAACGGGTGTGATGGCTAAGTAATCTGTAATTAGGCAACTATTCAAAGTTTTCAGCACAAGGCATTAAGTTCTGCCTAGCATCTCAGCCAGTAACAGGTCTTTACTAAATGCCCAGCGGCCAGCACCAGGGCCAGCACCACTGGAGTCATCACTGGTTACTGTAGTGCAAATGACTACCAGTAAGGAGTCCAGAGTCTTTAACTTCTTGCCAATGAGAAGTAGCTCCCTCCCTCTCCAGTTGACCCTCAGTTTCCCCATCTGTAATTGAGAGACTTAGGGGATCGCAAATACCCACACTGACTGGCAGTCTCCTCCCCAGCTCTCCATAAGGCTCCCCCCCTTACCTCCTCCTCAGCTTGCC